TGGGGGTGAAGTCGTCGTGTATCATCTTGGTCTCCTGGTGTTGTGTTCAAGGGAAAGCTGCCGATGGGTGACGTAAGGTGCCACACACCCTGGATTGATTCTCGAAGCTTCCATTTCTCCGCGACGATGAGGATATTTGTAAATGAAACGACGCGTTTTCGGAAAGCTCTCCACGAGACGGTTCCAACACCGCCGTATTTGGTATCACCGCTCATTCTGCTGCGGAGTACCAGCATTCAATCCTTGGGAAAATTGGTCCAAGGGGGTTGTGATATCGATACCGTATGCACAGGTCGCCTACGGTAGGTGGCCCACCTCTTGGTTGAGGTGCTCTCGCAGAGCTGGCTGCGTGTTTGAATGCCAAGGCCGCTCGCTCGTGCACCCCCCCCGGGCTGTGTGCGGCGTGTGTGTACCCGCCGGGAAGGTTGCGCGGTGCTGCTGAGTGATTGATTGTCCTTGTGTTATTCTCAACCACCTCCCCCACCTTGCTTGCTGTGCGTGCTTGGCTCTGACATGCAGCGTCTCCGTGCGCTGCATGCGTCTATTTCCCCATGTAGTAGTGCTCCTATAAGAGCGCCTCCGGTTCACTGCATGCCGCATATTTTTCCCTGAGCGCCATGGGTGTACTGCATGCGTCGCCCTTTGTTGTTCCTCCAGCGCTCTTATTTCGCCGCAAGTCATGTGTGTGTGTTTGTTTTGTGTTTGCCTGCGTTCGTGTCCTTCTCTCAGTTTTTCGGCGTTTGGGAGCTGTGGCAAGCATCGTCGCAACTGCTCAGGACCACGCTTAGCGCGGAGCTGGTGGACTCCGCGGACCTTGACCCCGCGCCAGAGAACGCCATCGTGAGATTAATCAATCTGCTATTTCTGTTTCGTTTGCTGCCGCGGTGGCGGAGGGGGCAGGTGGTACCGTACAATCGTCCCGAGAGCTGTATGAATAGTATGCATAGCACACGGTCTGCCGAACGCAACATCTGTTGTGTTTTCGAAATATTGTTTTTCTTTGTGTTGTATAAAGTGCGTCGGACTTGCATCGGTGTGTTTCGCTGTTGGGAACATTGCGCCGCCCCCCCCCCCCTCCCCCGCGGGTGTGGCGAAAGTGGGTGTTTCTTCTTGGTTTCCTCCCATTTGCTTTCGTGTGCAGAGATGGCTTGCTGGCGGTTTCGTGGCGTCGTCTACCTCGGGCCAGCTGTGTCACGTGTCACACCGCCTGCTTGTTGTCTAGATGACTACCCTGTTTTCTGGTATCGAATTGAATTATAACACCAGCGGTGCCTTGGCCAAGAACGGCAAAACCAGCGGTTGATGATGTTCTCGTGCTGCCGCCTTAGCAGTGCGGGTTCTCGCCGTGCATCCTCCTGACACCTTTCCGACACCTTTTTTTTTGGCGCTGGTCGAGGCGTCGTTGTTGCGTACCGCCGTGGCTTAACGCTAACCGTATAGCCAAACGGACAACTTGAAATTGATCCAAAAGTTTCGTTGTTGAAGGAGATGGGCGGATGTTGCATCGAGGGGTCCATGAAGTTGCGGGGAGGAGATCGACTCTTACTGCTGTCGCAGGTGTCGCAGGTACTGCCCAAAGGGAGTGATCAAGTCAGCCATTTACCAGTGCCCATCAAACCCGCGTGACGTGACGCGGCGTTTTCGTCTCATTTTTTTTTTTTCTTGTCAGGACATGCTCGGGGTGGGAGAGGGCGAGGCGGTGGAAGAGCAAGTGAGGCATCTAGCGCAAGACCCCGAGATTCGAAGGTGGGATAAGGGACGGCAACCTATGTAGTTCTCACGCTCCTCGAGGCTCCCATTATACATGTGCTGTGTGTAGCCTATAGGAAGGCCGGCAGATATAGATCACTTTCATCACACCGACACTTGAGTGTGTGTGGAATGAAGCAAAGATCATGCTCGAGGCAAGGCGAAACTGAGGTTGAGAGCGTGTGTGTGCCCGTCTTGTGCGTGTTTTCTTTTTTCACAAGCATCGAGCGTGCGAACTGGTTGGCCGATGAAAAGACGGTCGTTCTTTGAAGCGGGATTAAGAATGCTATCACGCTTTCTAGTCATCGGGCTCCCCCGGCGGGGGTCTCTCTCTTGCTCTCTTTCTTTCTGTGTATGTGTCTCGTCCTGTCTGCCTCTGTCTGTCTGTCTGTCTGTCCGTGTGTCTCTCTCTCTCTCTCTCTCTCTCTCTCTCTCTCTCTCTTTCTCTCTCGTGTGTCCCTCTTGCAAACCGACAACAACGACGCAATTCACGCCTCAGCACCTTTGTCTACCGGCTTTGTCGAGCATTCGACGTCATTATTTACCTGTCGACTGCTGGTGCTGCTGCTTGCTGCGTGCTGGTGCTGCTTGCTGATGTTGGTAGTTTACTCGCGCTTCTGCTTGCTAATGCTGCTCACTGATGCTGCGTCCGCAGAGTGATCGAGCAGGCTAACAAGAAGGACGTGATGGTGTACTGGCGAGCGGTGATGGAGTTCAAGCGGAGGTGCCGCTACTTCGGCATCCCGGTCCCCGACGACCCGTACCTGCTGGATGGCTGACACGGACCAAGCACCAGTGCATCATCGTGCTCCGTGCCCCTGTCATGTCGTGTTGTCTCTTGTTACAATTTGGCGATGCAAGTGTCACTGAAAATCGTTGCGGGGTTAGTTATCGTGCCTTCCCTTGAGAAGAGCCCAGGTTAGTTTTGCCGCAGGTGCTGCATGAGAGATCCTTGTCGGACGTTCACATCTGACTAGCTGGCTCCTTTGGGATCACGCGCGCCCCCCTGCCGACCCGTGTATCCGGCCTATTAATAGAGTATCTATCTAACGATTATTTTATTCTTTTTTGTGATTGTTCGTGTGTCGGTTGGGGATATCTTTATCCCGTGCCATGTCATTTATGTCATGTCTCGTGTGCTCCTCCATGTTGGTAGTAGTATGGTTGGCGGGTGTTCCTATGTTGGCGTTGTTGTTGCTGCTGTCGTTGTTGTGTTCCGTATGCACCAGACTACTGTAGGCAGCTTGCTACAGGACATGTAGTTTCCTTTTTTTCAGTCTTCGGTACCCTATGCGGCAGGTGAAATCTCTTGGCAAAGATGGAATAATTTAGTCAAGTTGTGTGCTTTGTAATGGGGTTTGTAATGGGAGGGTCCCGCAAGGTGCGGGTGAATCAACCTGGTACATACAAACCCGCCCTCTGGAGGGCCGCCCACCTGCTGTACTTGGTCCTCATTGTGGTGTCCTTATCGGTGATGGGAGTCAATCGTCTTGTGCTTGTAATCCGTATTCAAGCCTAGCCCTACTGTATCTCAAACACTACCCCAATTTGTTAGCGATACAAGGTCTCCCTTCGGGACGTGGGTGTCTACCCTCCCTCAGGTGACGCAAGACGACATGCGCACTGCTGTGTGTCTTACAACGCTTGTATTTCCGCACAAAACATCGCGCAGTTATTCTACATTGGAGCCAGCTCGAGCGGACAATAATTTGGCAGCGAAAACTCAGACTTCCATGATGTCTTTGATTGATGATGGCAGATTTCCAATGAGAACCGAATTTGAAGCCGAAACAATACCACGGGAGCAGTGGTGGGCGTTGGCCGTGCGCATCCCAGCGAGGAAACAGCCGGCCAGATCCCGAAGATCCGGACGGGAGGTGTTGGCCACATCCACCGCCTCCTGGATGGTGACGACCGCCGGCAACGCGATGGACACTTCTTCCGTGGCCAGGTCCCTGACCGATGCGCTATCCCCGGGAAGGAAGTTGAACTGTTGATATTGTGCCACATCAGCCAGTTTGGCCGGGGTGAAGCTGAAGTCGCCGGACTCGAAAGCGATGGGGCCGTGCCGCGACGACGTGGAGCGGGTGACCGGGCTGGATGAAGCAGCAGCCGCATACGTGCGGGACGAGGCGGCAGAGGTGGTCGATGCAGACGCAGCTCTCCCGCCGGCTCCCGAGACGCGGGGCGACCGCTCCGCACGTTCTGAACGCGGAGGAGGTCCTGCTCACGCCTTTTGCCGGCCTTGCGGCCAGCTTCTACAAGGGCGTCCTCCTGGCGCCGGTCTGCCGTCAAGGTAGCGGCCAGCTGACTCCGCTGACGGTCGTGTTGTTTCTGGAGTGTCTCGAGATCGAGGATTTGTTTGGAGTTGGAATCTCTCTTCGCCCGCAGGATCTTGAGCTCCTCCTCGCGGGCGGAGACTTCATGACGAAACTCCTCGTCGGCGAGGTCGTCCTGCGCTTGTTGGACGGCCGCTCGGTCGGCATCCACGGCCGCGCCGCTCGCCATGCGAACGGCGTCCGTGCAGGCGGTCGTGCCTCCGCGGACATGACGCTCCACAGAGCCAGAGGGAGCCACAGCGGGCAGGAGAGGGGTGCAGCCCATTGTTGTCGCTTATTCGCTGCCGTGGCGACTGCGTGAGTGGCGTATCTTCTCGGGTTTTTTTCGATACCGGTCTTTTTGTCGTTCCGGCGGTGATCCTTTCTTTTTGTCGTTCTGACGAGACCTTTGTTTCTTCTGGTTTTCGTACTTTCTTCGTGTTTTCCTTTCTTCGGTTTCGACCTTGTTCCGGTCGTCATCGGCTTTTCTTAGCCCCGTAAGTTCCTTTCGGTGTCTTCTTGTTGTTTAGAAGTCAAACGATGGTCATGCGACCCATCGAGTGAGAGGTAGGTGCGGGAGGAGGGTGAATTGTGCTGTTTTGGAGCTCCACATCCATCCTCGATGCTTTCATTTAGAGACTCGACAATTGCTTGCCAAGACTCCGAGGTTTTATATATCTGCGTATAGTATGTATGAGAACCTCCAGACAGGGTGGGCTACAAGTAAGTGTTGCAGGATTCAGATGTGTTGACGGAACATAGAAGATAACGGTTCCTTCTAGAAGGCGCGGAGAGATGTAACTCCCCGCGGAAGGATAAAACAGGGAACAGGATCTAGTAGCCCCTGCTTGTACTGAGGATCCTGCGCTCCTTGGTGTCATTCCTACCGATACCCAAGGCAACAGTTACTTGCTGCTGCTGTTCTGCAAGAGAAATAACAAGTAAGTGAGTTCTTCTTCACCGGTCAACCAGACTTCATCACGCGTGCATACCACCACACCCACCCCCGACCCCCCCAAATTTTTCTTGAACAACTGCTGCTGGTTTCAATCCGAATAGGATTGGTTTCTGCTGCGGAACAAAAACAACTATAAATTAATACAGTCAGTTCCCCAGTTGCAAATTGTTTTTTTTGCCAGCACAATCCCGTAAAAAAGCGATAAAGAAATCTTTCCGAAATTTTCCTACTTAGATCAAGTAAAAAATGTGACGGAAATCAGTACTCAACTCAAGTAACTTGTGTGACGGAAATCAGTACTCAAGTGACTTGTGTAACGGAAATCAACACTCAACGCAACTTGTAACTTGTGCAACCCCAACCCAACCCAACCCAACCCAAACCCAATCCAACCTAACCAAACCTAACCCAACCAAACCCAAAACCCAACCAAACCCAAAACCCAACCAAACCCAACCCTCTCTGGCTGATGATGAATACCACCCCCCCTTATAGCTGACGGTAAATACCACCCCCCCTCTAGCTGACGGTATATACCACCCCCGGTCTGACGGTAAATACCATCCCCCTCTCTGCCTGACGGTAGATACCAGCCCTCCCTCTCTGATGTAAATCACACCGACTGGCTGGCGTCCCCACAACTCAACGTCTTTACTGCTGCTGCTGCTGTCTGTTTCGTAAACAAGATGTGAGCCAATGGTAACAAACGTAACAACGCACAAGCCTACTTGCAGGCACTTTTGTTTTCGAAAATAATAAAAAAACTAGGGCAATTGACAAAAATGGGGTATACCTGGCGTGTTTGGGCACAAAATGGGGGATAATCCTTTTTTTCGCTACATCCATCGCGTGCGCTATCTGTGTGTGCCTGCTGCACATCTATCGATCACCTCAGTACATTCTGTGCGTGCAGACCATTCGATGGCTCCTCTTGCATTGCGTCCGTAGGGCCAAAATTTCAAAAAAATCGCATCTATTCCCTTGCGCAACATGGGTAGGTTGCTACTGCTACTGCTGTCTGTATGTATTGTATGCACTTTGTCGTCTCTTCGAGGGTTGGTTTTGGAGTCTGCCCCGTGACGCCATCATCGTACCAAGATGACACAACCGGCACTTACTTGAAGTAAGGAAACTCAATTGGGGAAGCAGCCGTGGCCACACGGCCTTCTACTAAGAAAACTTGACCGCGGTAGTAAGCGGTTCATTGACCGCGGCCGATTTCTCTCAGCTCGCGACAGCTACGAGCACGAAATCGCCTCTTCTACTGCTGCTCTGCTGTAGGGTAGGCAGGCGTGAAGAAACAGCAAGTTTGAACGGATCACTCCCAAACACCTTTTCGACGTCCACGACCACTGGACGCTAGCCAACGCACAACAAAAGAAGAGTGGTTACAGTGGTATTTTTCCGGCCCCCAGCCCAGGCACAATTGATTAATATCTCCACTATGCAGACGATTCACACAGCAAACTATATATCATGTGAAAGCTATGAACGAGAGCTTTCGAATGAACACACTTTTGGCTGCGGCAAATTAGATGGGCACGAGCTACGCTGGGTTGGCCGTTTTCATAGAATCGGCGAGAAATAGGAAAAACGCGCAATCGACGACGAAGACTTTTTTTGCCGCAAAAAAAAGTTCCATTTTTGGAATCCCCGCAAAAAATGGGTTCTAAAAACGTTTGGTTGGAACCTCCGAGCGTCTGCATAGCAGAGGAAAATTTCAAATTTCTCAGGGCGTGCAGGGTACGCTTTTGCCACAGATCTTGGGCGGGACCATGGACCCCGATACAGATGCGCTGCTGCATGTGAAGGGAACTCTGCCTGCTGAGTACGAGCTCGGAGAACTCGAGGTGCACAGAGGGGCTCCACGAAAGTACCGCATTGGTCTGAAAGCAAGACACAGCAGCCAGGCCGGCCAGCCGTTACTTCAGTGGCACAGCCGGACGTTCACCACGAAGAGTGCACGTGGCAGAGACAGAGCCGCCGAGTCTCAAGCATGCAGAACCATCACAGCGCAAACATGGTTAGACCTTGCAGCAAAGACCATCCAGCATGAAGCGATCCAGCAACCACCCTCCCGGGTTACAACGGGTGTCAGACTTGCAGCTCCCGCACCTGGTTCTCTTCAAGAACCTGGTGTTGGAGGCGCCGAAAGGTTGCGAGAAGGGTGCGGCGGCGCCAGAGAGGGCGCCGGGAGGAAGAAAGGAAGCCTAGGAAAGAGGGCCCGGCGAGAAAGAGCTACCATGCTGCGCGAGGAGCTCGTCAAAGCCTTTCCAGGCGCACTCGAACTTCAAGCTGGGACGCTGGCAGAATTGTTGCGGGCGTGGAAGGCAACTGAGCCTGAGATGGCCGATGAGGCGATGAAGAGGTACATGAACAAGGGCACGTACAACACATCGCAGGCTAGAAAAAAGATCAAGCGTGCTCGCGAGGCAGATCTCAGAGCACGGGCGGTTGAGGCGGCGGCGGATGAATTTCGCGCGGACAGCATCGAGTATTTTGATACCGTGTTGAGGGATGCGCAGAAGGCCATCAGTGCGGCAGCGGCACTGGAAGATGTGAGTGTTTTTTTTGAGTGTGTAAAGAACTGCTGTACAGCAGTAATGTACTGCCGCAAACTACTTTCTCCTTTAACCACTGTACTGCTGTGTACAGTGTCACCACTCGAATAAGTATACTGCTGTAAAACACTGCTGTTAAGTTGCTGCTGCGTCCGCCCAGCACCATGGGCGCCTCTGCTGTGCAGTGCACATCCGAAAGCAATACTGTAACGTTCATTTCATCGACAACAGTTGTTTAACCCCCCCGTCCCCACACCCTCGCTCTCTCCCTCCGGCATTCTCCACAGGACGAGGCGAGCGCACCGGGGGCTGCCCTGTCCAACTACCAGCTGGCCCACGTGGTTCAACAGGCCATGACGTTGCTCCATCTGTACCTTCTCCAGCAAGACGGGGTCAACCGCACCGATGCGCTAGCAGCTGCCGCACGAGTGGGCAGACGAAGCATTGGAACCGTAAACGACTGGGAGCATGGTTTTCTAGCACGCGGCAAAATCAAGCCGCCAGAAAAAGGTCGCTTCCAGCGGACCTTTCTCCTGGAGCTCGACGAAGGCATCCAAAAGCTGGTGAAGCAGTGGATGCTGGACAACTGCGGCATACTGAGCGGTGAAGCCAACAAGACGGCAGAAGATTTCCGCAAGTGGATCAACAAGACCATCATGCCCAAGCTGGAGGCGCTGGAGACGGAGGACTTCGACCCTTTCGACGGCTTGAGAGTGCGGCGGGAAGAACCAACAGAGAAAGATGGCGAGCCCCCCGTTCCCGGGAAGCGTTTCATCTCCCTGTCTACAGCAACGGCATGGCTGAAGAAGCTAGGGTGCGAGTACCACGGTGCCAAAAAGGGTCTCTACTTCGACGGCCACGACGACCCGGAGACCCTCAAGTACCGGAACAACGACTTTCTGCCGCAACTGTTCGACGCTCGCGACCGCATGGACGTGTGGATTCCGGTGCCGAACGAGGAAGCCGAGGCCTGGGGCATTGACGTGAACGAAGTGCCGGAGGCCGACCGCATGCAGGAAGGTGACGGTGTCTGGGTGAGTGTCGACGATCTACAATCGGCGTTGGCGGACCTGTCGCCTGACCTGCAAGCTAAAGTACAGAGCAAGAAAACGTACCCGGACGGGAAGAAGGCCTTGCTTCTCTACCAGGACGAGAGCATCTTCCGAGGTTAGTGGGAAGTCAAGTCAAAACATAAAAATATTGTAGAGCAATGCAAAAATTGTCGTCCACCACGTGAAGTTAAAGTTGCAAAAATACTTCGACAAGGTTGGGTTGTGTGCAGTGGTCTCGCACATACAGCAGTACTGTGTAGGAGTACTGTACATTACAGCAGAGTACTGAACGTTTTTGTTGCACTCTCTGATTCTTTTTTTTTTGGCCGCCCCTGTTTTCTTCTTCTTTCTTCGGCAGCCAACGACGACCAGAAGTGGGCGTGGTTCAGGAAAGACCAGCGTGTGGTAATAAAGAAGTCACCCGGCCAGGGCATCATGGTGTCAGGAACGATCATCCACAACGTTGGCTTCTTTTCGGCGTCGCCGAGCCAGGTAGCTGAGGCCGAGAGCAACCGGAAGAAACGTTGCCGTGAGTCGGCCGCTGCAGCTAGACGAGGGGAGAACATCAAACCAGAGAAGTACCGGCCAATCGACATGCTGCATGTCGACGACGACGGCAACTATTGGTCCTTCCATCTCTTCGAGTACGGCAAGAACAAGGAGGGCTACTGGACCGGTCTGAAAATGCTGGACCACACGAACGACGTCCTGGATGTGGTGGCCGTCCTCTACCCCAACCACAAGCCTGTGTGCCTGTTCGACTGGTCGTCCTGCCATGACTGCCTAGAGGTCGGCGCGCCAAGGGTGAGCGGGATGAACGTGGGTTTCGGTGGAGTGAGAAAGGGAGAAGAGCTTGCGGCGATGGATGCCGTGACGATTCTGGAAGATACGCCACTCCTCAAAGCTGGCACGACACAGCACTTGGTTTTCCAAAGGGGGGACGACCCCCCCTTCTACGCCGAGCACCTCCGACCGTCGGAGTATGTCGGGAAGCTGAAGGGGATGCGGCAGATCTTGTTCGAGAGGGGGTTGCTGAAGAAGGGCATGTCGAAGTTGGGGGGGACGGGCGAGAAGAAGGACCTCAGCATGAGCATGGAGCATGTTCTGGGAGAGCAGCGAGACTTCAAGGAAGTTGACTCTAGTCTGGTGCTGTTGATGCGGCGGCACGGGGGAGTCTGCGTGATGCTCCCCAAGTACCACTGCGAGTGCAACCCCATCAAGCTCGTTTGGGGCCGTGCGAAGGACTGGACGCGCCAGAACTGCACATATTCGATGGAATGCTTGCGCAAAAACGTGCCGTTGAGCTTTAGACCGGAGAAGGATAGACAGGCCATTGCGGTAGTCCAGGCTTACTGCAAGAAGGCTTACACGCATGCCCTCGTGTACCTGAAGGCACGTGCACTTGGACCCACGGGCAAGGAGATCTACAAGAAATTCAAGTCCCACAGGCGCCCGACGCCGAACACGTGGAGGAAGTAGAGAGGCATGCGTTTGTATTCCTTGTGCTGTCCAGCACTGACTTTTTTCCCCCTGTTTTCGCCACATTTTCTCAGCTTTTTTACCTGTGTTTTTTTTTTTTTTGTGTGAATACACGTATTTTGTGCGGTTGCTCGTTGCCAAAAGTTGCTGTAGGGTGATACAGTACAGTAGGTGAAGGGTACCTGCGTTTGTGCGGTGTTTGGGGGTGTTTTACTCGACGTGACGCATGTTTGCAACCAAAAAAAAGAAAAAGAAAAAAAAAAATCGACGCAAAAAAAAACAAAAATGGTGCAAAAATGACCCAGGACTAACGTTCGAGCCCCGGCGAAAGGCATAATTTTCCCTTTTTTTTTTTTCCGACTCGCTACTCTTTTGCGCCTCTTCGCGGGCGTTAATAACATGTTTTTTTTTTTTTTGTTCTCCACTTCAGTCAAAAGTTATGGAGGGACAACGAAATTCGGCCTCAGGAAAAATACCACTGTAGCACACCGGCGTTGTTATTTGTAATGGCATGATTTGGAAGAAGAGGACTCCGCGCAAAGAGAATGAGACTCTCGCCAAGCTCGCTCAGTTTTTTGTCCGTTGGGATTTTTCAGGACGAGGAGCAAGCAAACGCGCGGATGGATATCAATTCAGCACCGCCTCTCTCTTCGGCATATTTACTCTCTGCTCCAATCATGACTATAACCTACGAATCACTCTCTGGATCATCAGGTCTCTATGCGGATGCACACAACAGCAGTACATACAAAAAGCAGCAGTGTTACCATTCTTTCTTCAGCCTGCCGTTCAAAATGGATATCAATCAGAAAATTGCGGGCTGATGATACGTTGTATAACGCCTGGTCGTTGACCGCAGAAAACTGGAAGTAATATAGGTGACAGCAGCACCAGCAGCTTCCGAGTACATTTTCCTGTTCCTGTTGAAGAGAGCCTATCGTCACACACTTGATTCATTGATTTGTTTCAAACGCAAAACAATGAAATACGATGAGCACAAGTAAGTATCAGGGCGACTAGACTAATCATCAAGCAGTAACAACAACATCAAACAACAAGAGAGCGAGGAACACGACAATAAACCATCACGGCCACACGCATGCTGTCCGCAACACTGCTGAGTCAAAGTGCTGCTTGGTGCGAGCCACCGTCAACACGGCCTCGTCCCAGGCTTCTCGGGTCTCGGCCACGAGTTCCTTGATGGCCTTGTCGTCGTCGTCAGTGTCGACAAACCGCTTCTCGACGTCGCTCATCTCGGTCCGGACCCTCTCGATGTCTTGCTGCGTCTCGAACACGGCCTGCTCGGCCTCGTTTTGGTCAGCCTGAAGTGAAGGACAAGAGGGACAAAACGCCAACACGCAAGGCGGAGAGAGGCGCGGGTACATTACAATTTGCGTCAGGCACCAGTTGCAAATCATTTGGGTTTGTTGTCCTTGCTCGTGTGGAACAACTAACTGCAGCATTTCCTTGTTGGTTTGGACGGGGCACGGCAAAAGGGAATGCGACGACGTTCGTTGTACTCCTTCGCAACAAGGTGCACACGCACGTTAGTCGGTACTGCTGGCACGCACAGACAAGCATGAAACCCATGACACTCACCCGAGCCCCCTGCTCGTGCACCTCCGCTTCCTCAAGGAGTTCCTCGCACTGCGAAACGTCGGACATGGCTTGGTTGTACTCGTTGCAGGCTCGCTGCGCGTCCATCTTCTTGTTCGCCTCTGCAGTGCGGAACAGGTTGAACGCCGACACCATCGCCGATACCTTCACCAGCTTTTCCTCGGCCAGAGCCAGTTCGCGCGCGTCGATCAATGGCCTGGTGGCGAGGCACGGAATCAGAGTGCCTACCTCGTCCACTATTTCCCGGTACTTGTCCTCCGCAGAGAGGTGCAGTTCTGCCGCCCGGGCCCTGCCCGTGTCCTGGGCGCACTTGGCGTCTTCGGCAGACAGCACAGCCAGGACGTGGGGCGGCAAGAGGTCGTCGGAGGATGCCAAGCTCTGGAGGGACGAGCTCACGTAGTCGAGGTCGCCGGTGTAGTACCACTCGAGCACGCGGAGGTATCTGTATCACTGCGCCCGAAGCCCGTTGACCTTCTTGAGGCACGCCTCGTGCTCGTCCTGGACGTTGGTCAGCTCGACGTCGTCGTGCGGGGGGCAGTCGAGGGACGATTCGTGTGAGAGGCGGCGGAGAAGGGCGACCTTCTTGACCTCGGCGGCGTCCGCGTGCGCCCGGGACTCGGCCAACTTCCGCTGGAGGTCGAGAGTGGTCGCACCCGCCTCTTCCACGACCTTGGCCTTCTCGGCGGCGTTCGCCTGCTGCTCTTTGGCGAGATCCTTTAGGTTCAGGCCGCGACAAGTACCAAGGAGAAGCTCGGAGGCGGGGATGGCCTCCCGTTTTTTGGCCTCGTGCAGCTTCCTCTCGGCCTCGTCCAGAGCACCGCGCATGTCGATCTCGTGGTCCTGTGCCTTCTTGAGAAGACGATCGAGGCCTGCATCGTAGGAGGGCTTGTGGAAGACCGGCACCTCCTGTTCCATGGCATTGGGCGCCGCGGGCGTGAAGAGGGTGCGAGCGTTGGGCGCTCCGGAGGTGACGGCGCTGCCGGACTCCTGAATTTCAAGAACGGCAGCAGCAGCAGTTGGGAAGGTGTTTGCGCGTCGTGAGTGATACAAGCTGCTGCTACACGTATGTGCTCCATTTTGCGGATGACGTGAGTGTGCAGACAGCATGACGCCGGTACATTCGTGTTCGCTGCAGAATGAATCACAGCTGTGCCTCAGACAGAGACAGCAACATCGCACACCCTCCGCTCCCCCGTCCCGACGTCCACACACGATGTTGCTTTTGTGTTGAATATTCTCTCAATACCTACATACGACGGGCGGATCAAATGTACACTCAGCGGCAGCACCTTCGGTCTACAGCAGCAGAATACGACAAAAAAACAAATGGCGGATCACCGGGTCCCGTGATCTACATGCAATGCGTACGTTCCCTGTGTCCTTGTATGCGCAGGAAAAAACGGATTTGCGCGCATACAACAACCCAGCATGTTTGTGGTTAGATACGCTTGGTTGCCGGCGGGTGTGAAGGCATGATGAACCCTACAAGATGGGAACGTGGGGCGCACAGACGATGCAAACCGCAGCAGCTTGCGGCAGATCCACAACGACAGATTGCCCGTTTACATCGATAGCCGACGCGCAGAGAAAACGGACCTACAGAAGACCGAACCAAGATGTTACCGGCAAAGGGCAAGGGCACATGGTACAAATATGATTTTGGCAAAGTGAGGAGGCAGAGGTACAAGATCGCAACGTTCCGAAGATCGCGCCACGCCGTGTAGCCCTGCGCCGTAAGACCTTAGGGTTTGACACCCTTCGCACACCGCTCTCTACCCTAAAGGGGGAAAGGTTCGCTCGCCCGCTGTGCATTTCTGCGATCCCGGTGCGCCAACCGGAACCAAAATTGGACATGAGCAGGTTCGTTCATGATTGATGGTGTGTGATCAAATCAAGCGCCTGGCTACACACCACAGCAACACACACGGCCAACTACTGTAGTGGGGTGTCAAGAGGCTCTCACCGTACGGCGCCTCTTCGTGAAGTCGTACGTGTGGAGGTCGCACTCCAACCCTGCCGATGAGTAGCTGGGCGGCAGGTATACCTCGGTGAGGCTCCGCTTCTTGCCGTCCGGGCGATATCCGCTGAGCATGCTTGCTTGCTGCTGTTGTCCTTGCTCCTGGTGCATGTAGATCGGGTCTGGATGTCTGTGCAATCCCTGCTGGTCTCAAGATCCTGTATGCACAAGCAAGCGGGTGTGAGATGTGAGAGCGGGGGCTGCTGCTGTTGTCGGGTGCTGTGCTCATGATCTCCCCGTGTCGGTTACGGGTACTGCGTGCACAGGTGATGGCGTCGTCAGAATGCGGCGCAATCAAATTCTGCCGCAATCTGTGCTGCTGGAGGCTGGAGACATGAGCACAACAGCACAGCATAGTCCCCAACAGCAGAGCCCCCATGGTGTGCACACAGGATCTTTGAGACCAGGGATTTTCCCAGACATCCAGACACGATCTACAGACAAGAACAGCAGCCATACCCCGCACCAAGAGCATCGATCTCAGCGGATATCGCCCGGAAGGCAAGAAGCCGGGCCTCACCGAGGTGTGCATGCCACCCCCCAGCTACTGGTCATTCCCAGGATTCCAGAGCGACCGCCAGATCTACGACCTCACCAAAAGGCGCCGTACGGTGAGAGGTTCTGACACCCCACTGCAATAGTTGGCTTCGTGTGCGTTGCAATTTATGGGCTATCCCTGGTGCACGCCACCACTTTCGGCCGCAGACAAAGCGAACAGGCCGCGAAAAACTCAAGGACAAATTGAAGCATTCAAACAAAGGAACATCACCACCAATACTGCTCACTGAACAGCACCAGCTGGTGCAGAGCTCCTACGTACTGCTGCGCCAGCAATCGCTAATTTAGCACAGCAGTAATGCGGTGGGGACGCGGAGCATTTGTTTTCGGCACCCACATAGGGCTCAAGTATTGTCGTTGGAATAGATATGTGGCAATGTACTCTAGCAGCGAGAGCTCAACGGCATGCTTCGGTGGGGAGCGTGGGAGATACCCAACCATTACCTATCCGCAGCTCGAAATTTGCAAGGATCAAAACACTCTACAAAGATACCGTATGCACCGCTCGCGGGCCAGTTTTTGGCACGATTCTTCTCTCTTCACCAACCCCTTGGGGGGTCGGCTACAGACCCTCCGCAGGTTCATCGAGAGAACGCATGTGCTGCGAGTAGGTCATGGTGACCACGTTTTTCGTACATATTTTTTCATTCTGCCAAGTGTGTTGGCTCAAATAGAGGTGTGACAATGACCTGTGAAAGCAAGATCCTATTGGCACCCTTGTATGTGGAGCATGGTGGAGTGGCGCAGCCTCCAAGTCTCCAAAAATGTGCTGATTTTTTCAAAGCAAAACGCGGCGGATCATCGAATTGATCTATTGCTGTCGTTCCTCTCAGAGCCCCATCTTCGGCGAGGACATAGATGGTGTCGATCCTCACGGAATGCCCCCCTTGCGGTCCTGTTCCAGGCCCTGTGTTTGTCGCGGTGGCTCGTCGAAGTGAGGTGCTAGGATGCCGTAGGTCCCTTTCCCCTGCAGAGAAACGCCTGCTGCAGAGTCCCCGGGAGGTGGTTCCACCGCAAATTACTTGAAAAAAGAGTGCGGCACCTACAATATTATCCTTTTTTTCCATATACCTTTGGGGACAATGCAGGTGGGCGCCGTTGTAGTAAAATAGTGGTCTGCCAAGCCACGTTGCTTGACGCACGGAGGAATGCGGATGTGGAACTTTGTAACGAAGGGAGATCGCCGACGTTCAAGAAGGGTTCGATGATGTCAAACATAGGTGCCGTAACCCTGGCCATCGGTCAGTGCATGTTTTCCACAAGTCTCGGTGACGGAGAAGGCTTGTGCAACAAATGCAACGGTACTGCACTTCATGCACAGATGATGGCGTCGTCAGAATGCGGCCGACGCGAAAAAATTGATCTGTCCTGCTGTACGGTAACCGACACAGGGAGATAATAATGAGCACAGCAGCACAACCCCCAACAGCAGCAGCCCCTGTTGTTCTCACATCTCACACCCGCCTGCCTGTGGATGTGCACACAGGATCTTGAGACCAGCAGGGATTGCACAGACTTCAAGACCCGATCTACACGCACCAGAGGCAAGAAGGACAACAACAGCGGCAAGCATGCCCCGCACGCAGAGCATCGATATCAGCGGATATCACCCGGACGGCTAGAAGCGGGGCCTCACCGAGGCTACTGCCGCCCAGCAACTCACCATTCCCAGGGTTGGAGTGTGACCTCCAGACGTACGAACTGACCAAGAGGCGGCGTACGGTGAGAGCTTCTTGACACCCCACTACAATAGTTGGCCGTGTGTGTGCAGTCGAGGGACGATTCGTGCGAGAGGCGGCGGAGAAGGGCGTCCTTCTTGGCCTCGGCGGCGTCTGCGTACGCCCGGGGCTCGGCCAGCTTCCGCTGGAGGTCGAGAGTGGTCGCACCCCCTCTTCCACGACTTTGGCCTTCTCGGCGGCGTTCGCCTGCTGCTCTTTGGCGAGATCCTTTAGGTTCAGGCCGCGAAAAATACCATGGAGAAGCTCGGAGGCCAGGATGGCCGTCCGCCTTTTAGCCTCGTGCTTTCCCCTCTCGGCGGCGTCCAAGGCAGCGTGCATGTCGATCTCGTGGTCCTGTGCCTTCTTGAGAAGAAGATCGAGGTCTGTTTCGTAGGAGGGCTTGTGGAGGGCCGGTACCTCCTGTTTCATGGCATTGAGCGCCGCGGGCGTGAAGAGGGTCCGGGCGTGGGGCGGCGATGGAGCGCTGTACGTGCATATTCCGGAGGTGACGGCGCTGCCGGACTCCTGAATTTCAAGAACGGCAGCAGTGTTGGGAGCGGCGGAGCACAGCGAGCGGGTGTTTGCGCGTCGTGAGTGATACAAGCTGCTGCTACACGTATGTGCTCCATCTTGCGGATGACGTGTGTGTGCAGACAGCATGACGCCGATTGTAACACGAATGCACCGGCGTCATGCTGTCTGCACACACACGTCATCCGCAAGATGGAGCACATACATACGTGTAGCAGCAGCTTGTATCACTCACGACGCGCAAACACCCGCTCGCTGTGCTCCGCCGCTCCCAACACTGCTGCCGTTCTTGAAATTCAGGAGTTCGGCAGCGCCGTCACCTCCGGAACCTGCACATACAGCGCTCCATCGCCGCCCCACGCTCGCACCCTCTTCACGCCCGCGGCGCTCAATGTCATGGAACAGGAGGTGCCGGTCTTCCACAAGCCCTCCTACGATGCAGGCCTCGATCGTCTTCTCAAGAAGGCACAGGACCACGAGATCGACATGCGCGGTGCTCTGGACGAGGCCGAGAGGAAGCTGCACGAGGCCAAAAAACGGGCGGCCATCCCCGCCTCCGAGCTTCTCCTTGGTACATGTCGCGGCCTGAACCTAAAGGATCTCGCCAAAGAGCAGCAGGCGAACGCCGCCGAGAAGGCCAAGGTCGTGGAAGAGGCGGGTGCGACCACTCTCGACCTCCAGCGGAAGTTGGCCGAGTCCCGGGCGCACGCGGACGCCGCCGAGGTCAAGAAGGTCGCCCTTCTCCGCCGCCTCTCGCACGAATCGTCCCTCGACTGCCCCCCGCACGACGACGTCGAGCTGACCAACGTCCAGGACGAGCACGAGGCGTGCCTCAAGAAGGTCAACGGGCTTCGGGCGCAGTGATACAGATACCTCCGCGTGCTCGAGTGGTACTACACCGGCGACCTCGACTACGTGAGCTCGTCCCTCCAGAGCTTGGCATCCTCCGACGACCTCTTGCCGCCCCACGTCCTGGCTGTGCTGTCTGCCGAAGACGCCAAGTGCGCCCAGGACACGGGCAGGGCCCGGGCGGCAGAACTGCACCTCTCTGCGGAGGACAAGTACCGGGAAATAGTGGACGAGGTAGGCACTCTGATTCCGTGCCTCGCCACCAGGCCATTGATCGACGCGCGCGAACTGGCTCTGGCCGAGGAAAAGCTGGTGAGGGTATCGGCGATGGTGTCGGCGTTCAACCTGTTCCGCACTGCAGAGGCGAACAAGAAGATGGACGCGCAGCGAGCCTGCAACGAGTACAACCAAGCCATGTCCGACGTTTCGCAGTGCGAGGAACTCCTTGAGGAAGCGGAGGTGCATGAGCAGGGGGCTCGGGTGAGTGTCATGGGTTTCATGCTTGTCTGTGCGTGCCAGCAGTACCGACTAACGTGCGTGTGCACCTTGTTGCGAAGGAGTACAACGAACGTCGTCGCATTCCCTTTTGCCGTGCCCCGTCCAAACCAACAAGGAAATGCTGCAGTTAGTTGTTCCACACGAGCAAGGACAACAAACCCAAATGATTTGCAACTGGTGCCTGACGCAAATTGTAATGTACCCGCGCCTCTCTCCGCCTTGCGTGTTGGCGTTTTGTCCCTCTTGTCCTTCACTTCAGGCTGACCAAAACGAGGCCGAGCAGGCCGTGTTCGAGACGCAGCAAGACAGCGAGAAAGTCGGGGCCGAGATGAGCGACGTCGAGAAGCGGTTTGTCGACACTGACGACGACGACAAGGCCATCAAGGAACTCGTGGCCGAGACCCGAGAAGCCTGGGACGAGGCCATGTTGACGGTGGCTCGCACCAAGCAGCACTTTGACTCAGCAGTGTTGCGGACAGCATGCGTGTGGCCGTGATGGTTTATTGTCGTGTTCCTCGCTCTCTTGTTGTTTGTTGTTGTTGGTGTCGTTACTGCTTGATTGTCGCCATGATACTTGTGCTCATCATATTCTTTTCTCTTGTGTTTGCAATAAACCAGTGAATCAAGTGCAACGATAGGCTCTCTTCAACAGGAAGGGGAACATGCAGCACCCAAAAAAAAGCTGCTGGTGCTGCTGTCACCTATATTACTTCCAGTTTTCTGCGGTCAACGACCAGGCGTTATACAACGTACCACCAGTGTAGTTTTCTGATGTTCGTGGGCACATGAATGACTAATTGTATGTAGTTTGACTTGATTGTCGTTTGTCTTCGTGCAAGAGATGGGTTCGGGTCAAGGTTCCACCTGCGGTTTATCTTTTCCAGTTCGCTGTGGTGTTAAGGCGGGCAGCTGGACGTTCCCCTCATCGTCACCGAGCTCCAGCAAAGGCCCTCAAGTTTGTCTCTAGTCCCTTTTTGTTTCCTGCTTGTCGGTGATATCGCATGGACTGTTCTACCAGCATGTTTTACAGTATTCTTTGGAGGGTGGGGGGGTGCGGTGGGTGAACGTGAGGACGATACCAGGGTATCACGCCGCAGCAAGACAAAAAAAGACGAAGTGTTTGCTAAGGAGGACCCGATTTGGAGGGTATCCATCGATTGACTTTATTTACCAGAATTGGTACTCCTTTGCATGTTGGTGTTATATCGCCAAGGAATTGGGGTAGATTTGATGACACAGCAAGTAGTCTTGATCTCATACCGATGACGACTCTTGTCGTCTGGATCAATGACAAAAGGTCTCGAATGAGCTGGCAGCCCCAAAGATACATCATCACTGCTGTACAGCTGTTATTGTGCTGTTGTGATGTCGTACCTTCAGGTAGCACGTGGTAACCACACCGTGTACTATCGTACGAAGACGGTGAGAAGGGTGTCTCTGCCTCTGCGTAACTCTAGTCATACCACGGTGGTTCTTCTGGTTGCTTCGCCTCAAAATTATTTGGCTCGTTGATTGGATGTCGACATGTATGTGTGTATTACATTTTGAAAACATGAAAGAGTTCTTGTACAATGACGCGCCATTGTATGTATTGGAGGTATTGTATTACGATAAATAACATGTCAGGTTTGCGTATGGGGGGACGGGGTGTTTTTTTGCGTATCCCTCCCTCCCCTACCTTTCTCGGTGGGCGGCGTGCCCTGCTGCGGCGTATCTTGCCTCACCCTGTTCGTTTGCTTGGGCACAGAAACTCAAGCCTAGAGGCTTGATATAATATTCAGTCGATCTATGTGGCTAGTCCAAAATCAGTATCCAGTCATAAACACACACGCGCGTGTATTTTTCTTGTTAGCATCGACCGCGCCAACCGGCTGACCAACAAAACAAGACGTCAGTCTCAGTGCGGTTGAAAACACAAAATGCTGCTAAAGGCCACGATCTGGAACCCTGTGTGTGTGTTTTGTGGGGTACAGCAGTGCCACAACCTTCCTTCGGGCCATAGAGGCCAGGCACAATGTAGCAAGCGCCCAACTCTCACGGCTCCATCGGCACCTTTCCACACGTATTCATGGGAAGAGGACATCGAAAAACCCCACTCCGAGTCTTGTTTCGCCTCCGATTGTTTCGATGGGCTCGCGTGGCTGCTCTCGCGTGTGGAATGAATGGATATGGCTACGCGCTTCGAATACACCCCCCCGGTGTTGCGTAAAACTACCCCATGGTACTGGCAGGATATGGAGAATAAATTGTTTACGTTCACCACAAACGCTTGGCTGCCAGTCAGTGAACACCTGAAAAGAAAGGCCTGCCATGCGTCCTGATGACTTCACTTGCAGCTACACGCTGTGCCACGAACGCGAGCCGGTATGGCGACCAGTGCTGTCTGCGCACAGCATGAACGACAAAACATTCACATCCACATGTTCATCGCCGCCCTCGCGTGAGACTAAGCGCTACTACTGCGGGCTTCCCCCCCTTGGCCCCTCCGTCTCTCTCAACCTTCAACCAACACCAATGACTGCCGTGCAATTCCAGGCACGTGTCCCGGGCAAGCCGCTGGCCGGTGAGCCTCCCCTTTCACGTGTGCCTTAATTCCACGTGGCAGATATCATGTATCATGACCCCAGATCGCCATGAAAGATAGAAATGATACCATCTTGCTCTCCCGTCTGTCTTTTGGCTCAAGCACCATGTCGTGCATGCAACACGGGCACAGCTAGGGGTCGGCGCGGCAACGAAGCTACTTCTTTTCCCCCTCTACGCCTACAGCGGGGTCGGCGAGTGTATGTACTGTACTGCTAATCAACTAAGAGTGAAAACGCTACAAAAACTTCACTACGTCCGGTAGCAGCAGTCGTTAACGATCTACACGTGCTTTGTAATCCTGCTGTCATGATGGCAAGACTTAGCCTCTCGAGCACGCAACCGAAAAACCGGGGGGGGAGAGAAAGAGTCGAAAAGAAAAACAAATTAGTGCGTTGATCACACGCAAGCCCGTGAGCTGCGGATCACGATCAACAGCAAAGAGTACGTCAACCGTCCTCGTCGGCTAAATGCCTATACATAATACATTGTTGTACATCATACAAGCAAGAAGTTGAACTGACGGGGAAAAAAAAGCAGCTACATTGTACATAGCCAGAAAACTCTCAACTTCGAGCACACAGGACGACCAATCCAACGGACACAAGCAAATAAAAAAACAAACTACTGTATAGTACGATACTCGGGAGCATCTATCCTTGTTAAAAGTCCAACAAGAGGCAGAGCACAACAAATAACGAAACAACGCAAACCCTCTTTTTCTCCTCTTTTCCCTCTCGGCAAAAGGCTATAGCGAGAGTCTCCTTCGCAAATGACGACGAAACCACGCTGTCACACGCTCTTTAATCGATCCCTCCATCCGCCTGCAAATCAGGCGCTGGGGTGGTTGCGGGCACCGGGCGCGGGGCGGGTGCCGCCGCGGGCACCTCCGCCTGCTGGCCCGAACCAGAGGCCGGCGGCGGCGGCGGCATCGCAATCACCGCCGCCCCGGTGCTTGCGCTGGCAGGAGGGGCGGCCCCCGACGGGGACGCCTTCGACGCACCCCCCCCTCCCGGCATCGCGGGCGGGTTGTAGGTGCCGTAGGAACCCGGCAGGTGCTGGGAGGTAGATGCCCCGGACCCCCCTTGCTCTGGGTCTGCGGCATCGTCGTCTGATTGGTCGGTTGTCGTTCGTTGTGTGGAGGGGTTGAGCAGCAAGCAGCAGTAGAGAGCGCAGTTTGGGTCATTCGGTGAGGGGTAAACTCAAGAACTGAAGGGGTGGTTTTGGCGCATGTCGTCTTCACGGTGTAGTCAGACGTCACTCTCAACACGTGAGGGAATGCAGCAGCGCATCAAAGCCACCCCGGTTCGAACAAATGATACATAACATGGACGATCATGTACAAAGGAAACTAAATCAAATTGTGGTGTGCTAATTGTGAGCGAACAAATCTAATGTTGAATCTTCATTGTTCACTTGGTTTTAGAGTACCCCCCAGCCCCCCCCTTCAGGCGCTCTGGAGGTACCTGTACAACAGGTGTGCAAGATATATTCTTACTTCTATAACACTGCTGTTGCCATCGGGGGGATAATCGTAAAATCTGCTGAGCCTCGTTGCCGACATTACGAATCGTCGGCGTTTCCGGGAAAATATATATTTGGCCGACATGAGGGGGAAAAATCGTAGACTCGTCGGTGTCTCCCTACCTAGATCTCCGAGGTCTCGCATGCAGCAGATGAAGCAGGTCGCGCAGCACAGCAGGGTGCCCGCGATGATGAACTGCGGGATGAAGATGACGAACGTCGAGTAGTCCGCGCCCGCGATGGCATTGACGGCGAGCACGACCGTGACCAACGTGAAGACCCAGCAGCAGCAAGACGAGGCCGCGTGCACGACAAGCTGAGACGCCGCCACCATTCGTACCCTCTCCTCCTGTGCCGTGCCGAGGCAATGCGGGAGTGCGTGCGTAGAGTAGCGCGATTTAATGAAGTGTGGAGAAGTGGAGCAAAACAAGCACGAAAAAAACTCACGCCGCACTCCGCTAGGTGGCTCGCTTGTATGACTGCGGCTGGCGCACATGACCTACAACTTCTGTCCGCAGAGCAACAAAACAAACACAAAGACGGCACGCGAGAGAGCGCAAAGCAAAGGACTCAAATCGTCTGCAGTACATACCTGCGTGAGGTCCTCCTCTTCCTTCTCTTCTATCCCGGCGGACAGGCTCCTCGCCAGCGAGTAGTCCACGTAGTACCCCACCAGCTGCCCGAACAGCACGAACCAAGTGGGGAAGAAAACCAACCACCAGTTCCAGTCCACCTGAGGCGCAAACCAGCGAAAAAAAAAAGAAAAAAACAGCCACAAAAAATGACGCGAAAAAAATCAACAAAACGATCGACGTGAAAAACTGGTGGTTGTTTGCACGGCATTATGCACACGCACATTCACAAGCATTACGCTGAAGCACTACAGAGTAGCACGTGTTCCCCCTCGCGTTTCGGGCCTGGCAGCATATCGCCAGAAAACAGCCAAATCCAAAAGCAGCAGCAGTGAGGTGCTTGCACCCCCCGTGGCCACACATGACGAGCAACCGATATCCCCTCGTGGTGGGATGGCGCCCCCTGCTCCCCCCCCCCTCTACCGCGAGTGCTGCTTGCTATCGTAACTCACAAGATATGAGCCTGGCTTTTGCTTGAAATAGTATGGACAAACATCTTTCAAGACCAAGAAGAGCGTGGGTCGGGTTTGCCAGCGACACGTAAAGTGTAGCCTCATCGACAAGTGGCTGGGAGTGTTTGTTCTCGCCATGCACTGCGTGCGACAAAAAAAAACACTGCACTTTCTTTTCATCGCCCATCATTTCACACCGCAAAGAAGTAAATGTGTGTGTGTATTCAACTATTTCCATTGCGCTCGTGTGTTTTCTGGTTTGTATAGGTCCGTTAGATTACAACCAGGTTCATGAAAAAGAGGCAGGAAAAGACAAAACCAATCATATGGGCAGAGACACACCCCCGCCCAAAAAAAACAAAAGAGCACGCAACCGCGGAACCCCTCCAATCATTTCCAGGCCTTTGTGTAGCCCCTGAAACACAAGGCGACAAGACGACGACAAACACACGTACATTTCCATCCAGCTTAATGATGAGGAAGACGAGCTGTAGCATCCAGACGCAGTCCTTGGCGACCGCCTGATCAAACGTTCAACACACCAACCGTAAACGCCGAACACACGACAAGAGAAAAAACGGTCCGACAACGGCGGTTAGCGGCAACAAGACAAGGCAAGGCAGGGCAAGGCGAGACGAAAGGTACGGTCTCGTTTTTTTTTTGTGGCAGGGCTTACGAAACGTACTGTACGTCGTCAAGAGACAAAAATCAAGACGATGAGTGTCCACGGAGATTGAACACGACAAGATAACAAGCGCCTTTGCTTGGCAGACACCCGCTCCAGCCGCTGTAGCTTGCTATAAGAGGGTGCACGAACAAACGCCCGCCGCATGAGTCAACACCGACGTAGGAGAACACCAACAAGACTCACTACCCCCCCCCCTCGGTTGCAGCCCTCCGCCGGTACCCCTTGCTTGCCAATCAATTATCTCAAACCGTTTCTGCTCCGGTGGCAACAGCATGCGCTCCCACCTCCTGGTCTCTTTTCTCTTATCCCCCTCCCCCTCTTCGGTTCTCCGGTCACTCCCTTGCTCTACAAGCATCCTACCTCTCCAGTCCTGCCTATCATTGCATCTCTTCGGCTCTCTCCCTCCCACCTCTTCCTCACCATTCCCCCTCACCCACACCCCCGTCTCTAATTGCACCATGTCTTCTTACCGAGCGCGCTTCGGTACGCTTGGCGATAGCCTGCTCCCGCTTCTCCACGTCCGGCGGTATTCCTCCTTCTTCGTCGTTAAGAATCGACTCCTCGCTCCTGTCCTGAGGCACGGGTCTGGTCGCCTGCACACGCATCGCGCATCACGCATCATGCAAACAACAGACGAGACAGCCGGTAAGATACAACAACATCGTCGGTGAACAGCAAGCAGGGCACGTGCGCATCGTTGAAGCCAGACGGTAGAGGGGAGGGGAACGGGGTTGAGGCTTTGCTGAAACTAACCCCAACCCTACGGGGCTGGGTCTTGCTAAAACAACCACTCGTGGAACGAAACAGATCCTCCCATGTATGACGGGGGAAACGTTCTGACGTGACTGCTGCCCGGTCAGGAGTCCAACAGAAACACTCAACCACGAAGCCAGACCGTTGAACAAATGCGCCAGACTAACACAGGAACACAGCAGGGCAGGCACAAGGTCACCAAGGGCTGCCTTTTCGCACCCAGACACGTATGAATATCGTGAATTTGATTTCCAACACAGAGACACAAGAGATGAGACACCACGGGGTGGGCGGGGCACCGACGGCCCCAAAGGAAAAAATTGACAGAAAATACCTTTGTTGTCTGACGGCGACACACGGCGCCACTAGCTTAACATGTCAACGCCGCGGCAAAACGCCAGGCCTCTCAGACTTCCGATAACCAGAGTTTCTTCCCAGAGCGTGGACCAGACTCCCTGCAAGCAGAGGAGATACCCCACACGGTTCCTTCCACCCTCCCCGATCACTCGTCAACGACGGCGACTCACATCGTACACGTGTCCGACGATGGTAAGCCCCATCCAGGCAAGCAGGGGTGAGCCCACCACCGCGTACGACCAGTCGATGTTGTCGTCTAGTCGCATGGTCAGGAACACCTGTGCAGCGGCGGGACACGGGAAAGGAGGAGGGAAGACAGACGTGCCAAACGGAAAAGGCCACCCGATCAGATCAGATCAGCCCAGCGGAAAAAGCGGGGGGGGGGGGGGGGGTCTCCTCTTGTTGGCGATTTGTTGTTGCTATTTCCAGCGGGAAAAGCCGGGAGCGGGGATGGGGGGGGCTCATTCATCATGCCCACAAGTGGAGAAAAAAAAAAATCCCGTGTGGCCTTCCTTCGGTTAACCCACCCGGCTGATGCGTTCAGAAAATAAACCGAAAGGTGTCAAGACTGAAGTCAGAAGAATAACCATGGGACGACCCCCCCACACACACACACATGTTGCTACCGTTTCTGTCTTTAATCCGGAGAATAGCGTAGCCTCCCCCATGCCGCCCCCTCACGGGGTCCCAGTTCATGGCATTTAGAAGCGTTTTGTGTTTTCAACCGCACTGAAATTGACGTATTTTCATTGGTCAGCAGGTTAACGCGGTCAATGCTAAAAAAAAAGACACAGCAAAAGACACAGCAACGCGTTTTGGTCAGTTTCTTCCCACGTCTTCTGGTTGCTTCTCCCACGCAAGAGCTTCGACCGGCGGAACACACAACAGGAAACCTTTATACCTCTGCCTTACTTTTGGCTGGTTGCCGCAGTCCCCTCCCCTCCCCTCCCCTAGGCCATTCGCCGGGAATGTGTGTGTGCGTGTTTTCGTCCTACTCCGAGTATTCATTATGGCGACAGTCCCCCCATTTTTCGTGGTGAGACGTGTACTACACTTTTCAGTGTATGTAGAGTACCACACTTTTCAGTGTATTTTTTCGCACAACTACAACCATCCAGGGTCACACAGGAGGGGGTAAACACCAGGGCTCTCTTCTTTGTGTTTTATTTTCGTGCCCCATCTTCCTCCTGCGGTGCGTGCTGGGTTTTATTCTTATCGCGACAAGTGTCCAGCCGTCCCTTTTCCTCGTCAACGCCGCTAATTTAACGTCGAAGTTTGGTATTTTACTCACGAGAGCTTTTTCAGCTATGTTTCGCTTTCGCCCGCGAATTTTGTAAAATTTTCACCCCATGGGGATTCGAACTCACAACCTTTGCGACTAGCGGTTTCGAGGTTACCACTATAATAGGACCACCGGGGCGGCCGGGAATGCAACTACCGCAAGAGGCCGAAAGATGGTACATATCCCCCCTAGACCAATTTTCAAACCTCCATTGCTCCATACCCAAGAGTGTGCCAAACACCAGAAACGGTGGCTATGGAACATCTCATGGAGGGCTTGCCATAGACCTATGTATCAGACTCTCTAGGGACTCTCTTGGTCGTGGAGCAATCGAGCTTGGAAAGTCGGTCTAGGGGGGGTGCCGTCTTTCTCTCTCCGCCTCTCTCTTACGGGACGTCGAACAAACACAAACAGGCAAGAGCACCGCTAGATCCCTCCCCCTATTAAAGGGCCATTTGTCCAGCAATTGCTTGGGGTACTCTGCCATGTGGTAGTATTCATGTACGAGCAAGTTTTTCTGTTCTGTCTTTGTCGAGGTCTTTGCCTGACAGCGCGGATACCTCATCGAAGCGCAATCACGCTGGCCCATCTGCTTGTTGGAGGGGAGGGGGAAGAGAGAAGGTAAGGGACGAAGGGACGCCTCGAGACCTGTTCGAATATTCTTTTACACTTATCTCGGGGTCTGAATCCGGATTGAAAGATACAAGAATGACATAATTACCCCGGATTGTATGGAATTGTGAAGTACTGATGAAAAACATGAGTTAAATGACTTGGGCCGTAACGTACGGCGACTGCCATCATTCAACGAGTAGCTGGTGAGAGCTCAGGCGGGGTCCGCCCCTGCCGCAACGCACGGAGGTAACAATTTACCTCCTCCTTACAGGTTGCCTCCAGCAACTGCAAGGACGACAATCGGTCCACACCATCATCATCAACACCCCGAAGGCAGCTCTCCGACAGGCCATCTGACGTCACAATCTACGACAGTCTGAGGTGGCATTCACAACTTCGACAACACTATCACCACCGCCACCACCCCTCCACCCGAAGAGGACATCTGCAAGGCACCAAAGTTGCGCCCACCTGGAACAAAACCAGTAGCGTCCACTTGACCAGTGCCAGCACCCTCAGCGGCAGGGGGAAAGGGTCCGTCCAACCCTCCTCCATCCCCTCCGGCGCCTTGATTTGGCCAAGGCTTACCAAGTACACGAAGTACCACAGCCCTGTCATGCATACGTTGAGGCGTACGTGCATTCAGAGATGGCCATCCACGAGACAGAGAGAGAGAGCGGGGGAGGGGTCGAAGAAGGAAAAAACAGCAGCACGGCATCATTCCGCGTGCGTCTTGACGTCTTGACGCACGCGTGGTCATGTCGCCCGTCCGACCAAAACAAAACTGCCTGTGTCAAACATGTATCATTTCCACCTTGCGGCCCTGATTAAAACACCACGAAATAGAGCGCAATCTATTTCAGCACAGCAGGCGTTCGTGAATTTCCCCGTCGTGCTCTCCCTCAACAACAACAACCACAGGTGAAATTGGGCGGTGCAAAGCAGCGGCAGCGGCCACGCGGATGTACATGTGAAGGCACGGCAAGCCGGGAAAAAGACTCCCTAGCCGTTGCCCCCCCCAAGTCCTGGCTTTCGGCCGCGCTTCGCGCGATCATTTTGTGCCGTACGGCATGAAATCGTGGCGCTTACAACGGGTATTCGCTGGTGGTCAAGAAGATCACGCTACGAGCACAGTAGCACACGAGTCCGAGCTTCTTCCTTCTGGGCAACTCTCAACCCTCTCCACTGTCTCCGACAAGCAATACCCCTGCAAGCCAGCCGCGCCATCTCCTTACTCCCTCCCTGAACTCGCAACCCTCTCCAATGCCTCCAACCACCAATATCCCTGCAAGCCAACCTTCCTATCTCCTTACTCTCTCCCCCTCTCCTTCTCTTTGTGTATGTCTGTCCCTGTCTATCGCTCTCTCTTTCTCATCCTCTCTCTCTCTCTCTCTCTCTCTCTCTCTCTGTTTGTCTCTCCATGTCTTAACTCTCTCTCCCTCTCGTTGTGTATCTCTGCGCCTCCCTTTCCGCCCCCCTTGCTCTCACCAAGGGCATCGTATATCCACAGCGGAGTCCAAAGCGCCACCCAGCTCGCCGACGTGTCTCCGTCCACCTTGGCGCAGAAGAGGATGGGCCACAACAGCACCGCTCCCACGAACAGCAGCACGAAGACCACCAGGCGCAGTCGGTCCCTGGTGCCCATCCGGAGGAAGTTCTTGATCATGTTCTGTGCGATTAATTCGTTTTCCCAGTTTGGCAACAACAAAACCGTGTGGCGCGACAGGCAAGAGGTTGGCTCGTGTTTCGAACGCATGCACAGCAAGCAAGAAGACTACCCCTGTCTAAGGCTGGTTCCCTTCGAAAGTCCTACTCGTATTGAGGACACGCATAGTGAGCTTCTCGAAACTTTGACCACCGCGCGCGCGCGTACACGTGCGACAACCAAAGTCTTTGTTTATTTAGGATAGCAACTCCGATCTCCTCGGGCTAAATTTTAATCCTATTTGGTATACAAACAGCTGTGTCCCTGACCAGCACACAGACCCATGCTAAGCACGTCGGACGATTGATCGCGAGACTATCTACGCCGTGGCTGGCTGGTGGACAACCTTATCGCCTGCCCCTCGTTTGCCTGCTGATGCCAACATGACAGCACAGCAGCACGCCCGTAACGCGTCAGACGTCAGCTGCGCAACAAAGCGTTACACGAAGCACCATGCTGACGGTGCTAACAGCAGAGCCAACAATAGTCAATCACTTCTTCTTCTTCTGCAAGCTTGGAGTATCCACGCTGCTGTCGGTCGCGCTGTTCAGCGCTTTTCTTGTGTCCGTAAACACAACGATAATAGCATGTTAACAAATCCCGACTACAATGCCACTCGTCTTGGGACTCGCTTTACTCAGCGTGGCGTCGCCAAAATCCTTGCACCGACTATGTATACGTCAAGCTAGCTCACGTCCTTAGCGGCGAAGGGGTCCTCCATCATCAACATCCCGGTCTCGCCGAGCTGGTCGTAGAGCTCTCGTTTTGAGGGATCTGACAGCACCTGCGGCGGCCCAAAAATTCCACCGAGACGTGCGCAACACCAAGCGACGAGGTATCCAATGTGAACGGACAATTGTTGGTTTAGACAGCGTTTGAAGTTAGCTCAATCGTTCACGAACCTACATGTGGGAATCAGCGAGAGCCAGGGGGGCGTCACCTATTTGCGGCCTCAGCACATGCAAAGGAAGAAAACAACAGGGCACTGCTGTCTGCTTCGTTGATTTCCTGCGGGGAGGAGAGCGGCCGCGAACCGTGTCCAAGACTGGGAATGAAGCGGCATGCGAGTCGCCTTCGCTGCTACCCACCGCCTCACTCTACCGCAGTACACGCTGCACGAGCGTGTAAGAGGGGGCTCAAGTTCCGGTTTCTCTCTCTGTCGGCGGATCACCAAATTTCAAAACAAAAATGACATCTCCGGCATCATTGATACTTGAACGAAGAAAATGGGCACTGCTGCTTCTCAGATGTGGACATGGATGTCCCATGCCTACCGCATGTTGGTAAACATCTCGTACACCATGAACTGCTGCTGCTGGCTGCAGAAGTGCTATAGGTGGCAATTGCCTCGTACAGCAAACAAGCTCGACACACAAGCGTTGGCCAAGCGGAAGGCTAAACGAGGGACGCTCGTGCCGCCGCGGTCAAGCGTTAGGTACATGTGGTTCAGTCTACTGCGTCTCGCCTTGGCAAGAACGGGACACGAATCTCTGGGTAGCCGCCGTATTGAGAATCTACGTGGCTGCTGCTGGATTTCATTCTTCAACACAGCGATGTAGTGTGCGCTGGTCTGCCGCAGTAGGTAGAGTTCCGGGCCACACGACTGAAGTCGTGTCTCACGCCATGCACCACCATCAACTATGAATGATGCCCTTTCGTCTCTCGTTTCGTTTCGGACGGTAGCGCGCTCACAAGTTATGGCCTACTGTAACTCCCTCGGCCCTCGTTTCACTACTAGACATACTGCTGTAGACTCCATAGCTGTGTCCCGTTGTTTCCGCTGTACACATACTTGTAGATATCTTCTGCGGGAGGTTTTACTTTGTGACACCAGCAGAAACGCTTGCAAGAAGAACACGAAGGAGGCGGAAATACGAAATGAATAAGCCCAATACGGACCGCGTTGCACAGCAGCAGCAGCAGCAGTACACGCTCATCCGAAGTCCAAGCCAAACAAACTCACATCGTAGGCGGACTTCATCTTCTGGAAGTTGGCCCTGTCCTGCTCCGTCACCTCCTGCCCCCTTTGGTTAAGCTTGTCCGGGTGCATCTGGAGGGACTTATTCCTGTAGGCTCTCTTCACCTCCGCCGGGGTCGCCCTTCTGTCCACGCCCAACAGCGAGTAAAGCTCATCCCTGTTCGTGCGTTTGGTTAGGTTGGGTGCACGAAAAAATAAAGGCGGACGTCAGAAGAGCTCGTGGGGGGGAGTCGGGTTCCATGCCTACGGTTGAGAAATTTTGGGTGCACATGGCGGTAAAATTTAAATATGAAAGAACTGCTACGCTGTCGAGCTTGTCTTGGGTTTTCAAAGGCGAACGAAGCGCTCGCGATCCGCTCTCATTATACAGCAGTATGCACAAGATAGAATAAACCCATGATAAATCCATTGTACAATCACATCAATCACAGGAAGGAACACTTGCCGTTCGAGATAGCACCACAGCCGCTTTTTGTACGATTGCTGATTATCTTCCCGAATGTCTTTAGTGCAACTTTTACTTTGCTTTTTGCGTAAACAGAATCTCTTCCGGAGTGCAGGACCCGTTGTAAGCGCTACTCTGTAGTGTCAAACGTATTTTATTGTTACCCCGTTGCGCGCCCGATGCCCCCGCAACGTGTACACCTTCCTTCGTCAAATCTCTTTGCTTTCGTTGCTTCGGTGCGGTGTCGGCACAGAGATGTGATGCAATCGCTGCTGCTGTGGGAAGAGACCTCGACAATTATAATTCCACAACGTTGAGCCGAGAGCAGCCAGCAGGAGCCGTTCCGTAAGGAAATCGCCTGAAGTGATTCGCCAGCACCCACACAAACACTCAGACTCTAACAGCAGTTGGCTCGGTTTTGCAACACTATCTATAGCACCATCCGAGGAACGACGGCACCCAGCAGATACTCTGTACAACAAGACGGCGCCAGCTTCCCGGTTCCTTGCTCCAGATAACACCTGCTGTACGACGACCTAGCCGACCACTTCTCTAAAATAATCTGCTTACCGACCCGTGTGCGTGTGAAGCTACCGCATGGGACAAAATAAATTTGTCGGCTGTTGGTCGCGCTTTCGCTATTCTTAGCAGCAACCTCACCCGTTCTCATCGCGGAAGAAACCCTTGCAACAGCAGATGAAGAGCCGATGCGACATCCTCTTGGGCGAGCCCCGAGCACGGGCTGGGCACAGCAGAGGCAGAGGTGTGTCGAGCAAAAGTCACGACCAAGCTTTGGCCGCGGGCCGCAGGCTGCGAAAACGGGGGCATCGCAGAGTTGAGTTGTTTTGGGAGTTCGATTTCTTTGGCCGCCTGTGTGCCTCTTGGAATTGTAATTTGTAACGAACATTTCCTTCTATTTTCCGACCAAACTCTCCCCGCGGGGTCCCTACCTCTCTTCTTTTCCCTCTCTCCCTCTCTCTCTCTCTCTCTCTCTCTCTCTCTCTCTCTCTCTCTCTCTCTCCCTCACGTGTGTAATCTAGACGTTTTCACGGCTGATGACTGGGAATGCATGTATGTTGCGGCCTACGCACAGCAGTACCGTGGTATGTATGGCTGCGGACAGCGGACAGCGTACAGTATACTACTGTAGATTTTGCACGAAATATTGTACAGACCGTCTCACGCCTTCGCCCAGCGCCCTCGCCCCCCCCCCCCCTCCAATCAATACGTACTCACCCCTCTTCTTCCTCTCTCTATGATGAAAGGGGCGGCAAGAGAAGAATCGTTCTTTACGCTCTTCAATCCACCAGAAGGAAGGGCGACGTGTCAATGAGGTCCTTTCTCGACGTTCGACCCTTCACCCTGTACCGTTCGACCCACTAAAAGAGAGCAGACATGTTTGATCGGTACGGGCAGATGAAGGTACTGGGTAGAGGGATCGGAACTGTTTTGTAATGTGAAGACAGCAACAACAGCAACAGGTTGACGTGTGTGGAAACATGCCCACCACATCTAGTTTGTCTGGTATAAGTAACATGTAGTCTACAATGTCTCGCTTTGGGATCCCGACACCCGATGCTGCGAGTACTATTGCTTGTTCCTGGTTCACAGCTTTACGGTAACTAAAATGCACGAAAAACATATCTGTCGACAAGCAAGCAGAAAAAAACGTGTCTACTACACCGAGCCCGTGGTGGAACAGACAGAGTACAACTTGGAATGGCGTGACTGGGACACATAATATTCGACCGCGGATGATGGGATGCTGCGACAAAAAATCGGTACAGCTTAGAGTCGTGGGTTGCCGGTGTTAATCTCAATGTACCGGTGTTTGAGCAGCTCGTGTTGCTGCGGATTGTGCAACAACAAAGGATTTGCGCTCGAGAATCGGTGGAAATTGTGTTCTTGGCCGTTCCGTGAAACCTACAGTCAGCCAGAGTTTCACCGGGGGGTGTTGTTCTATCCCCCCCGCAAACAACAAACAACAATACTTACTCAAAAGACCTCAGCACATCCCTTTCGACTGAGGTTATATCTCGAACGGGTAGTCTTTCTGTGAGGTTATGTTTACTTTCTAAAAAAAAAAAAGTGAGTAGGAAATGTGCAGTCGTTCTCGTACTCCAGGCAAGACTAGCTAGATCACCGTTGCGCTTCAAAACACTGCAACTCCTGCTGTACTCTCAATTGGATCATCACCCTGATACAGTGGCCGTAGCTTCCTTTGCAGGGGTGAGGTTTTCACGACTTGTCTCGATGTTGTTCATACACATCCGGGCGATTTATCTCAGCTGGCTTCATGTACAGTACAGACCTTTGGCCTGGTAGAATAGGGATAGCGGCTCGCCTGTCATCTCCAGTGATCCGTATCTATAATCTGTTCCACAACGACCAAGAACAACCTTGTCTAAAACCGCTCAAGATCGATCACCGTGCGCGTTAAAACATTTATGAACGAAAATTCACTTTTGAGTACAGCCGTCAGCCTGGGGCACGCCAACGCTTGTTTCGCCCGGAACAGCGACAAGGAAAGAGATAGGCTACCACACTGTCAAAGCGTACGTGAGAGTAAACACGCAAAACACGGATACAGCTTGCTAATGGAACACCTGAACGAATTCGCCTCAGTACCCCCCCCGCTTCTCTTGAGGGATCAAGGATTATCACAGACGCCAACACGGCAGGTGAATCTACGTCCAACACACCGTTTCTAGAATGAGGTGTCGTTTTGCCGGTAGTCTCGAGAGGCCATAACCAAGCGCTGGGGTGGAATATGTTCGTGGTTTGGAGAAATTGTCACCACCGTGTGTGCGCCTCAGCCGGCCCACCGATCGTCCTTAGTCCTTAGAGACAGCCAGCGACAAACACAAACAAACACCACCGGTCCATGTGCTGCTTCCGGAGAACTGCTTCGCATTTACTCGTACCGCACGGTTTGGTTATGGCTGTAGGCGGTTCAATCGTTGGCCATAATTAAGCCAGATTCAGTGCGGTCTGACCGTTGACCAATCAATATTTCGAACAAAAAACGGAAGGATTGAAGCGAGGAAACCATCCACAAACGGCATGTTCTCAAACAAAACACCGAAATAACAAAGTCCTACATCAACCCCCTGCCCGCGAGCCTCTTGCGACCACGTGCCAAGTGCACGCCAACATTCCATGTTTCAAATCGGCATGCGTCTCAAAATAAGCCTCGCCCGGAGTACCACAAATGGGTAGTGTAGGGTACATACATCGTCGTTACCCTCGCCGTTGCCATGTGAGAAATTGCCAACTATTGGCTATAGCCCAACAACACGAAATTTCCTGCTCGGCCCCAGGCAAGAAGCTTGAGGTGGCTCAAGCGCCATCTCCGAAAACAATCAGTGCAAACGGTGGTGGTGAGACACGGCCGCTGGCCAGGCAGACGTCACATGGGGAGAAAAAACTACGCAAGCAGAAGCAGCACCATTTGGTGCTTTGCCCATGACTGCTCCATATAAACAATCAAGACACAGCATGGATGCATGCACAGCCAGCATCAAGCGGAACATCCACAACGATTCGCGAAAGGCTGTAGGCTTGCTGTGGAACTCAAGAGACCTACGAAAGAATCTTGGACGTAATGCAGGGGAACCTGTCCGCGGAAACGTCTGGATCTTTGCTAACTCTTGCTCGAACATCCTTCGCCACGAGTCGGAGGTACGACGCCTGGTGTTGTCATTGACACACGAAACGGGAATTGTCGAAGAGGAAGGGGGAGGAGGGGGGTACTCATGCTTTGCATGGCTTCGCGGTTAGACTATTGACCACACGAGGGGCGGGGAGTGAATATCCAGGCGATACAGGGCGACATTTCATAGACGTGTATGGCGTATGGCATCAGGTTTCGACATCTCTATACGTCGCTAGAGAAAGGCGGGAAGATCTCCCGCCCACGCGCAGTTGCTGGGCCAAGACGACGGGGCACGATGGATGGGGTGTGGTATCGTACAGCTAGGTCTTCGTGCCCTACTTTGCGAGCATAAGAACGGCAAAGAATAGCGTAAAACATGATTTTGTACTACATCAAACTGGACGCTATTTCAAGTGTCAGGATAGTGATGCCATACCAACTTGGGACGACAATCTTCGCATACTCAGACTGTACAGCAAGGTCACAGCTAGTCGTGCGACCGCAGGTATTCGATCCAGAGTGGACCGCATACAGCACATCTCCAAGTGCAACGTTGAATTACGGCACGCTCGACGCTAAGTTACTGAGTTCAAGTCGCCACGTGTGACGACTCCGACAAGCAGAAATGTTAAGAGACCAGACATAATCTCTCGACCCTATTCACCTTTAGCCGATCCAAGGCTTCGAAGTCTGCCTCCCCTACCACCGGTGGCTCCTTCACGCCCGAACTCGAGACGCCCTTGCTCAACACATCTGCTCCAAGTCGCGGGAGTGCACCAGACACGACCACAACGGCATGATGTGGGTGGGTGTCTATTGCGTGCTTTGACGAGGGAGGCATTTCAGTGCAGTCGAGAAAGGGGATGGATAAACAGTCGCTATCCTCCTCAATGCGGCAGGAAACCACACCGAAGCAGGCTCACGTGGAAAAAAAGCAAAATGTCGAAAACTAAGGTATGCACAAGGTTCACTTGCCCCGAGCCGCGTACGGGAAGTCTTCCTAACGATGGAGCTTTCGCTAAGATACTGTACGAAGGTCGCTTTCACGTTGAACACACCCAACCGCCCACCCCACCTTCAAAAATGTCGTCTGCGGCTCCCCCTTTCCCCCCCTCGGCATCGCCCGGCCCTCCTCCTCCTGCTCCAGCCCCCGTCTCCCCCACCCCCTTTCCCTGCGCAGCCCCCTCTGCGGCACCCGAACCAAGATGTACGACGATCCCCCCTTCCTCTTTCCCCGCAGAGTAGAAGGAACGGTACGCTCTGCTCAACGGACGCTGCTTGTCCATATCTGCCTGTCAGCGCCCGCCGCCAGGTCACCAGGCAGATGGGAGGCGGAGGGTTAGGGTGTATCGCGCTGGCCGTAGTGTGACCCAGAAGAGCTTCACATGCCTACAAATTCACGACGGGTGTTTGGGCGGCCTCGCACCAGGCGTGAAGCGCTGTGCGGCGCTTGGCAAGCTGCATTTCAAGGAGTCAAGTTGCTGTGCAGGTCCTCTTGGGTGCCTGCCTGACTACCGGTGCACTGCTCTAAGCACTTGCGCACCGTTAACTCGTACAAACATTCACAGCTAAACAGAACAGCCACGCTCCAAACCGACAAGCCAAGAACCAAGAAGAATTGCACGGAAGCACAGCTCTGCTTGAGGGGGTACGACCCTGTCATACGGCCGGGTGTGAATGGATTCCGAGATGATGCGGTGAGGACAGAGGTTCTCTGCGCCGCTTTGTCACCCTAACCCGCCAAGGACTCAGACCATGTCGTAGCGAATCCACAACCTCAACCGTACTCGAAACGAATGTCGTGATCAGGACCAACAAAGTCCAGAGGGTGAAAGCACGTTTGTGGAGTGCAGGGTTGATTCACACAGTCCCGTCCAAAAGGGAAAGGACAGCAAAGCAGTAGTTTGCCACACCTGTAGTTTACCGTCCTCCGCAAACGCCGCCTTCCAAGCTTCCCTTCTCTCTGGCCTCAAAAACGAGAACCCGTTCCTCGCGCCCCCCGCTGTTCCATTCCCACCACCCCCTTGCTTGCGTTGCAGCCACTGTTGTGAAGGGCCGAAGTCGCTGCTGGCCCTGCAGGGAGCGGAATTGGGGAAGGGTGGGAGTCAATAAAGGCGGCACCGTCTACTTGCAAATATCTCGCACAGTCTCCCTTCGGGTGGGGAGAAGATCTTTGAACGTAGAACACACACGGGACCGGAGGGGACCGCGGGTGTCGCAAAGTACCACGTGTGGGATACACTGCGGAGCGAAAAGAGAAAAGAGGAGATTATGATACGCCACACACACATCATCGGAGGCACAGCAGTTGTAGAAATACCGTATATGACACAAGATAACACACCCCCTGGACCGATTTTCAAAGCTCGATTACTCCACGACGAAGAGGATGCATAAATAAAACAATACGTTTTCAAACAGCTCTCGACGAGACGGTTCCAACGCCGCCGTTTTCGGCGCTGTGACTCTTCCTGCTGTTGAGAAATCGAGCTTTGAAAATCGGCCAAGGGGGTGTGTTATCTTGTGTCATATACGGTATGCATGCAGTTCAAAACTGCATACAGCAGTATCCCCCTAGGAAACCACATTGCGTCGAAGTTGATAGGGTAGGATCTGGCTGAACGACGCTACAGCAGTACGGTGACAGCACGGACACCACATCGCCGTGTTGCCGAGGTGACAGCAGGTAGCTACTACTTCGAAGTAGGAGCTTGCGTTCAACACTGCTGCTGCTGCGTAGAGTTGCACCGCACATGATGCGTGCTGTCATCTACCACAGTGTGCAGCCGTGTGCAGACTCTAGCGTCGGACAGAACCAGTCGGCACGGTCTGAGCTGTGTGCACTGCAACACCAATGCATACAACAGCTGTTAGAGGCTAATGTGGTGTCTCGCCCAGGAGACAGGATCGAGCCGTAGCCTATGGCAACAAGAAAAATTCGCGCTGACTTTCCATCACAGATGACAGATTAGATGTACCTTGCTTCCTTGGCCGCGGCACCGCCAGGGGCAGAGGCTACCATGGCCTCGTCGAGCATGGCGTCCAAATCGATCTCGCCGTCGCCTTCGGCGCCGCCAGCCTCAGGCGGGTCAGCAAATCCCTCATCGAGCGCCGAGTCGAGCATCGCATCGAGGTCGATGTCATCGTCAGCCATCGTATCCTCTCTCCCTCTCCTGTATCCCTCTGCTTGTGCGTGCAATGCACAGCGGCACGGCGGCGGTGTGCCGTGGGGGTGACACCAAGTGGAATATAGCGTTCTTGGCGGGGGGTAACCCAGCAAGGGGCACCGCGGATTAATAAGACTCCCTGGCAGGCTGCCGACGAACCGACGACCTTCGACGAACACCATCTTGGTTAATTCGTGCTGTCATGGGTAATGCCAGCAGTACCGAGATGATAAGACGCTGCGTGGGGCTGGAGATCGCTCCACCAGTAGTTAAATCGCTCGCCGGTGCGACGCAACACGTTTTCGAGGTGCGAAAATATTTAACTTCGTCGGCGCCGGCATGCTCGAGGTCTCCGCCACAGACGCGACGTTGGCGCGACGTTAGGCTTTGCATTCATATGAATGGTCGGTCGCCTCTTCAACCAGTTTCTGCTAAAACAAAGCACTTTTCTGGTCATGTAGCATGTGGAGCTCACAACTAAAAAAACAAGAGAGGAAGATACACTTCGTCGTGGTTGCCCCTGTCTCCTGTTTCACATGCACCATCTGTAGTTTACAAGGCAACTGTAGCTCCTGTAATCTGCATGTACAGTGCATGATGTTGTAAACGTGCTGTTGTATTGGTCATATTCGCGTCAGGCGGTAGAAGCGAGGACCAAGGCGATGAATCTTCCTCCTGGGCTAGACGCTGTACACGTCGCTCAGGCGCTCGGAGAAGGGCGGGGAAGCCAAGCCGATCTAGTTGTAGCCATGATGGAAACGAAGGGAACTGGACGAATCGACCTCTATGAGGTACTGTAGGCCGCATATATATTCCTTGCTGCTGCACAACATTGGAGCGAACCCAGGTTTCTTGCAGAGAGTCTACGGTGTCGAAACCATGCAATACACTGCCCGTCATGGATTACGAAATACTTGTTCGCACGCATTCATGTAGACGTCAAGTCTTGGCAATAACGCTGACTGCTCAGATAGCTCCGACGATGAAAATTGGTTATTAGCTTTCAGCGGTCTCGCTCCGGCGTGTGCAGCCTTTCTTGGTCGTCCTCCGCCCCATGTTATGAGTGCTGGTGAACCAGGGAAGCAATCTAATATAGCCTGTGTCGACCGAGGGGGGGTCGCGTGCTTCGCGGCCCTCGACGAGCTGAAGAAAAAGTGAGGTTCTGCAGAGGGTACCACACATACATAATGAGAGCACGCCGTACAGCATATGTGATACATGGCGTGTCTTGTTTTGTTTACTTCAGATGCTCGCCGTGTTGACGATGTACGGGAAGATTCCCGCTCGATTGAAAGTGAAAAACCTTTTCGATCTGTTCGACCTCGACCTCGACGGCAAGCTCAATTCCTCCGAGACGATCGTCATGCTCAGGTTCGTCGAAAATAACTCAAGTGGTAGATGCACATGTTCGTCGTTTTATAATGTTACAAGGACGACGATCAGATAGGATGGGTACCTTCACTCTTTGGATATCCTCCAGTGTACACGCCGACGAATATTTCCCAGAGGAATGGATACCTACTGAGTAATTTGGAGGCAGTGAAGCTTGAAGTCGCCCTGCCAGCCCAGTCTCGGATTTCGCTTTCACGAAGCACGCTCTTGGGACCTCTTTAATTTAGTCCCCCTGTTGTCTAGACTCGGCCACCGAAAGGTCATCATGTTTCCGACATTGCCCCTCTCTCAAAACGCCGGTAGAAACCCACGTCTTGTTTCGCCACCTACAGGTCACTGTTACACGGAATAGCGAAATCTACGGGTGGTGTGTTGCCAAACATCTCTGACATCCAGGCTATCTGGCAGCACATCGTACGACTTGGCTACACCGATGAAGAAGGGCTGGTAAGTGTTTCGAATTCGACAAACGCGTCGTTCTCATCGAAGTTGAGATTTCCGATGTTTACGGGCTTACATCGAAACTCTTTCTTTGGGCCATTTCCGATGTTTACGGACTTACATCGGAACTCTTTCTTTGGGCCTTACGCCAAATATCAAATCGAGTGGATAGCGGTTCCACTGGATCATGAGGCTCAGGTTGCAGGGTAGTTTGTTGTGCGTGATGGATTTCATGTCTCACTTCGACCGCGTTCAAGAATATCCCCGACATGAATTCCATTATCCAAGCACCGCTAGGACGGGATTGGCCGAACAGGGTATGACGTCCCCAATCAGTTTCTGATCGAGAATAGGTGTGGTACACGCTCGAGTGTCAATGCGTCCTCAAACTTTGTGGCCGGCGGATCGCTTCAAGTTAAGGGCGGCTTGTCCGAACAGTAGATGGGATGTGAGTCAAACACTTTTCGCCAACAGCAAACCTCGATCTAGGGCCACATGTTCTACGCCGGCATCCAATGCTCGAGGCAGCCGGTGGTGCCATATCGCATATCGCTGTCCGACGAGTTCATCACCGTCTGGCCCCTCGCTTCGATGCGTTTCGTTCTATACATGCAGTTGCCGTTCGCGAGGTGGATAACTTTCTGTTCCAAGACCCGCGAAGTTCACGCTCTGGGGAAGTCCCTTGACTTTAACAAAGGGGTTTGTCGGAAGTCTCTGACGTCGGGAACAAGGTGCGTGGTTGTTCAAAGGCCGAAAACGACAACCTCCATCTAAAGATAAGAGTGCATTCATGCATACTACTCAAAACACCCGGATGAACGGCGGACTGAGTTGCCTCACTCTAGTTAGTGTTTTAGTTGTTCGTGCTGTGGAGGAGGTTATGTTCCGTAGGCCACCGTGCAGCGCCTACAATCTAGGCGACCGGGAGATGTATCGATGCAGGTCTTCCAACCTTCGTGTGACGTTGTGTGTAGCATACGCTGAAAACAATATGGCTAGCCCTGTGGTGAACACTACATTATTGTTCTTGCCTCTTCAACTCAACCAAGACACTGCAGGGTTGTCTTGCACATACGATACGGGGCCCGGTGAATGAACCTCACAATTCCACGACTTCCTTTCCAAAACAGGCCGTGCGCGATTTCACTAATGGTCTCTCGACGCTGTCGTTGAGAAACACATATTAGACCTGTGTGCACACGTCCCACCAGATATGAATGATGAGAAATGCACGATTGTTTCCAAACCTTTGGTACCAACCCCCCCGATCAGGGCAACGCTTTCTGCGATGGTCCTGGGAGAAGACGACGCCGTTATGGCGGCTCAACGAGCCGCACTCACGAAGAAGCCCCAGGAGCGAGCATCGGTAGCCGTAGAGAAGAAGAGAGCGGCGGCGGCAGCGAGGGAGGGCAGGAACAGGTTCGCGCGGTCCAGCATTATGAAGATCAAGGAGGTGAGAATCACGGGTTTGCGGTGATTGCTAGTGGTACTGTCCGTGAGCAACGGCCTTGCTCTCCCTTCCATAGAGATAGCCAGTGTACTTTTGTGGGGTTACAAGTATTCAGGTGCGATTTCTCGGAGTACCTAGACGCCGAGGGTCTTGTATTTCTAGACGATGTGCCAGAGGATGGCAACGCACATTCGGCCCGTCGAGCAAAAAGTCTGAACGCGGAGTGCCATTACCGGTTTACCGTCCCCTCTTGTCTCACTTTGGTGCTATTCGCGTTTGCTTTATGGATACCCGAAAGGTGTTCGACAGCATCGACAAGGACGGCAGCGGCTACGTCGACGAAGAAGAGTGGCGGCGACTGACGGAAGACACCCCGCTGGCTGCCTCGGATGACACTTTCCTCTTCATCGAACGGGTGCGTAAACTTACAGCAAGAGGGGTATCTTGACGTGGTCCCCCAAGAGTGTTCAGCGCGCGGCAATATGTCGCTTTCGGAGGCCTTCTTCATCCAACTCAAAAGCAACCGGCTCAACTGTTTGGCAATAGTATGCGTTACCGGTGCACACGGGCTACCGCACCCTCAAAGGATGGTTGCTCTCTGTAGTACACACGTACCCTCCGGACTGCCCTCACAACACAAGCGGGCAACACCTCAATCGTCCCCGCTTCACCTGAAGAATGCCGCCGAAGTGAACCCTCTAGCAACAACCGATATTTTTTTCTGGCCTCTTCGCAGGAACGAGAGGGGAAAATATCGATCGTGGAAGTTCTGTGTGAAGTTCACCCATTCGCTGGTGATGCGGACCTGGCGAAGATGCTGGAGTGGATAAGTGAGGAGACTATACAACAGGGAGCGGCGAGAATAGTGAACCCGGAGTTAGCCGTCGCCGAGCGTTTGGAGATGGCGGAGCTCTTTAGTATGTGAGACCCAACCCTGTTTTGTCATTTTTCCGTGTTTTCTGGACGTGTGGGTGACCCAGCGATTGCCTCGAGGTCTAAAGCCGGTCACCGATCGAGTATCACCACTCACCCCACTACCCCCACTTTCGAACTCCAGAAGGTCGTGTAAATTTCGTATGTTTGGAAGCAGCACTGGGTAGTAAAACAAAGCCCAACATTGCATGCACACGGCGGGAGGTTCCCGTTGTCCTAGAACACCAATGTTCGCTAGGGAGAGAGACCAATCACTTGTGCTGAAGACTGCTCCTATACATCGCAATGTGTAACCGTCCGACAAGCATGTGTGCATGAGCGCTGGAACAACTTACTCACTCCAACGCGCCTTCGTTTCTCCGCGCGCCCGCTGCACGAATGCACACGTGGCCAGCTACGACACGGAAGGAAATGGGGAGATGCCACTGAGCGAATTGGCCACGGCCATGGGCGACATAGTGGGCCTCACGAAAGAGGACGTCATGCCCATGTTTTCGCAGTCGGGGAGAACGGAAGAGGTCGGTGTCATCTAGGGAGTACAACGCACTGCGCACCCAGACCAAGTACATGTGTACGTAGCATGTATCCGTACCTATATTTTCGTGTATCCTTTTTGGGTGAGTTTGCCTATGACCACACGAAGGTACTGGGAAGAGAGAACGGAATGCTTTTTTTTATGTTAAGATAACATAGGGGGAGACGGGAGATTTCCTTGTCCTTTCACATGTCACCTTGTCCAGCTACTGTGATTTCGCTTACTTGCAGCTATCGTACAAAATGTTCCAAACACGGTTCCGTGAAATAATATTTTTCGTCATTGCTTCAGTAATGGTTTCACGCTGTTCCGTGGACAATGATCTGGAAGTGCGAAACGAGTAACCTGCAGACCATGGGCTTGATTCACGCGAGCCCTGACGCCCTCCATGCCCTCCCCCCAACTCCCCCAACCGTCTCTTCGCGCCGGAACACTGCTTGAGGACTTCGCAGGATTATATCACCGCATCGGACTTCGCTGACACTCTGATGGAGTTCGTGAACTCTGATTCCAGCATTCAGTCCCTCATTCACGCAATCTGAGACAAAAAACGCCCCGCGTACATTTGTCGAACTACCGGCGGAAAGCCTGCATGAAAAATGGGTCGTCTGACCGGTTTTGGGGTCTCCCCTAGGGAGGGATTGCTTGGAAGATTGCACTCACCCAATTTTAGGAACGATACCCACTACTCACTCAGTGAACGAAACTGAAACGGAAACAACGTTGCTTGTAGCCATAAGCGGTATACGGAGACCGCTCACAAAGTTTCCGTGTGTTACATTTCGCTTACAATTATATGGGAGGAAGCTGATTCGCGCGGTGAACTGTTGGGCAGGAATGGTTGGCACGTAGACATCGTTTCCTTACGGCTAGTCGTTTCCCACCACTACGCGCCCTATTGATATATAAACGTTATCATTTGTCTGTCGATATTGTGCACTCTGATCGTCCTACCTGTGCGTGACGCCCCTTGGAGTCAATCGTTGGTGTCCACTAGCACTGTACCAGTATTGCGCTGGAAGCTCGTGGGTCATCTGAGGAAAGGCAATAATGTCTTTCTTTCTCGGGCATAGCCTCTCCTGTGGGCCACCTGGAATTGTTGCTTTTAGCTCAGCCGCCTCATGAAGCGGTTTGTTATCTGACCTGTATATTTCGTACTCCCACATGCGTACTCTCACATGCTCTTGATTAAACTTCAACCCTTCATATTATTCTCTCAGCTTTCTCTCGGCACCCAAGTCAACAGCACGGGAGACAAAAGTCAATGGGCTCAAAGAAAAGAGGATATCGCACTCGACAGGCAATGCCCTGGGAATTGAGCGGTGCGGTGCACAAGGGAACGTACCAGAGGCGGAGCGTCTTTCTTTCGGACAGACGGCGGCCCTGCTGAAAAGCGTGCCTATCGCCGTAAGGCTTCATCCACACTGCAAGTCGGTGGCGCGCCGGACAGTCCCGCCATCTCACAGAAAGGCGGGAGAGACACCCTGTTATCTGCATCCCCGATCTACTCTGCCCCCTGCGTGTGTGGTGACATTCATTCGGCTTGGCAAATCACAAGATCACAGGCCAAACGCACGCAACGCTTGACACTCTACGATGCAGAAGCGTTAGCTTTCATGGTTGGACTTGTAGGCGGAGCGAGCTGTCCATCGCAGCACCCACGTCAATCTCTATGTCTCCCGTTTCCTTTAGCCGACCCCGATTGTGTGCCAAGCGCTGTAGTAGTGGGGACGCAGGTCTTGAATAATGAGACTAAAGGTCGCTTCCGGTCTTGACTACGCCCTCTCCTCGACTAGAGACTTCCGAGTGAATCAACCTAGTCAGGGGCGGGTGGGTGGGGGTGCAGGGAAATTTCGACTTGGTCACAACATGACGGGCTAGAGAGTACACGTCGATCTTGACAGCGAACGTGGTATTGGTCTTGGTCTTCTGTAACAAGGCGGCAATGTAGACCACATCTGCTGTCGTCTTCGTCTCTTTCATGCGCCCCTCACGCCACGCCGTTGAATCCCCTGCTGGCCACAGCAAGTGTCGCTCGGGGCGACGTGATGAAGCCGAATTCCAGCGATAGCTGTGACTCTGCACACGAAGAGAAAAAAAACGATCCATATGCAACAAGGAGAAAAAGAAACAGCGCCGAGCGACAGGAAGAAAAGGGCGAACGAGGTCACTGGCCGCGTCGGAAAACGCGGCTGCGCCCCGCTGGTGTTAACACTGATATAATCGAGAAAACCACGACTATTGCACGGGGTAGTGCAGGTACAAACAGGAAAAAATAGATAGAGCCAAATAATTTGAGGCCAAAATTTCAAAGGCCACGCCCTCGAAGGTCAAAATAACCGGGGTCATGTTCCCGTAGGCAGAGATATACTTGGGGTACACCCTCGTGGGTTCTGAATTCCTGGGCCGCAGTGTCTTCGGTCACGTTCTCGGAGGCCACAAGTGCTCAGGGTCATCTTCCATCATGTCAAAATACGTTGCATCACGTGTACAAGGGCCATGATTTTCAAATATGTACTCCAGTCTCGAGAACGGCGTTTGCCATAATAAACTGCTACTGGTCTCCTAGAGTCTAGCAATTGTTGTCTTCTGTTGTTCACCAAAGCTTGTTGTCTTCTGTGATCACTTGGTTGGGCTGAGTTTGGGCAAGACCTCTCCATAGGGGTCGGTCGAGGGGACGGACTGCTGTAGGCGTGTTGGTTGTTAAAGGCAGCTCCGGGAGCCACCCCTCAGCCATAGTGCTATTTGTGCGTTGTGTAGGCTTCCTCTCTTCAAACGTTTCACACCAGAGGTGTAGTGTAATGAATGGTCTACGCCCCCCCACCCACTCTACTTCTTCGGGACCCCCATAAGCTACGCGGTTGCAATTCTCGCGGTTGCACAATGAACGTCTGGTTGTTCATCTACGACGAACGACCATGTCGGTCAAGTTATCGCTAAACTGTAGCAATCGCTCAAATTTGCGGTCTGCAACCAAGATGGCGAGCTGTTCACGGCCGTAAACAACACGTCCTCTCGGAAGCAAGTCGATAGATCAAGAAATCGCTGCAGTTTAGCCGTCGCTTAGTCTTGCTGTCTGTACCAAAACTTACATGATCTTCACCGGCCCTGAAGACCATGACCCTTTGGATGCAAGTCGCTAGGTCAAGCTATCGCTAGGTTTGTTGGTCACTAGATCTTGCTCTGTGAGCACGAAGGGGAGCGCTCATCACCGCCATGACTCGCGCGCCTTCATGAACACAGGCAGCTAGATAAAGATCCCGCCAGGTCTAGCCGTGTCACTTGGTTGGGCTTTCCACCCCCCGTAAAGCATGCTCTTCGCTGCCTGTCGCAAAGAGCATGCCTTCCTGGGCATGATCTAGCACTTGGTCGAGCTATCGCTAGGCTAAGCTGCCGCAAAACAGAGCGGTCGGTAACCAAGCCGGTGTGCTCCTCACGGCCGTAAGAAGCACTCCTTCAAGGATACAAGCCGCAACGTTAAACAACCGCTAGGTCTAGCCGTCGCTTTGGTCTAGCCGTCTGCAGAAAAGGAGGCGTGGTCTTCACTGCCACGTGCCGAGCACGTTCTCCTTGCCCGTAGGTCGCTAAGTTAAAGCTATCGCTTGGTTGGACTGTCGCTTGAGTCGGGCCGCCTACATACGTAGGCTGCTCGTCAAAAACTCTGGTTCGGTCAAGCAGTCACTCAGTCAAGCTCTCTATGACCGAGTAGACTAGCTTCTCATCGGCTATGAGTAGCAGGCCTTCTCGGACATACATCACCAGTTCAGTGGTTCCCGTTCGAATTGCTTCCCTCCTGTTGTAGTCGTATTCTGAGGCCACGTCATTTTCTTTGGCCACAGCTAACTGGGGTCATGCTCCCGTGGGCCACGATTTCTTTGGCCAGGGTTTCTCTTGGGGTCACGTTTTCGTAGGCCACGATTTCTTCGGCCACGATGTCTCAGGCCACGGTTTCTTCGGCCACATTATCTTGGGGGACACGTTGCCTTGGGCCACGATTTCTGGGGCCACGACTTCGAAGGCCACGTCCAACCACGTTCGTTTTCCCTTCCCGCAACATAGGCCACGGTTTCTTTGGCCAGGATGTCTCTTGGGATACCGTTCTCGTAGGCCACGTTTTCTTCGGCCACGATGTTTGAGGCCACGATTTCTTCGGCTGCGTTACCTTGCGGTCACGTCCCCTTGGGCCACTCTTTCGAAGGCCGGGATTGATTTGTTTGTCCTTTCACTCGCACGCGATTTTTACACGTCATGTCGTGCCAGGCCATAATTTTCTTGGCCATTTTTTATCAGGTGATGAGCGACGAGAATTTAGCGCTCATCATGACGTTGGATGATCAGAACCTTTAATTAATGCTTTTGGCTGCACCACGGTCAAGTCCCAGGTACCACTTCTTTTACAATTTGAATCAGGAAACTATTTAGTCTACGACGCACACACAAAGTTGAGTGGAACCTCGTTTTGCTGGTAGAGTCTATGCTCTCGAGACTTTACACCTTTCACTTCATGTTTTGATTCTGGCGAGTGGAATGTGTGCGATGTGCTACCCATGATGAATGAGTTGTTGAGCCAACCTACAAAGCAGTTGACCAATAATTAGTAGGGCGGGACAGCCAGAGTAGGTACTCGTGCTTACCGTGTACCCCATTCTACGTGCGAGCAGAAGGAACTTCCCCGTTTGGTGCTTCCTATAGTTTGACAGGGGGTTTACTTCGTTTTTTTTCACTCGCCTTTTTTGAAGTCGAAGTCTCATGTTGTCCTTGTGTATCTTCCCTGCCGACCACAGTCTTCCACGTTTCTCGTACCGATGGTTGGAGTCGGACATCGTCGACTCTTCGGCGATACGGTGTTTCCGGATGGCTTTGATTGTCCTGTAGATGTTCGAGACCTGTCTGTGATGAACACAGCGACACCAACACAGAGGGAGACAACTTCACATGCAGCTATTTTTATTGTAGGTGGTGCGACGCGATCTAGAATATGCTCGAGGTTTGGTTGGTTCCGTTCGTGCAGACATCCCGGGTCCGCCAACACGCAGGCAAGTGCTTGCTTTTGGCTAATTTCCTTGCACAAGGTTATGAAGCAGCCAGGTGATATGCATGAATATGATGAGTGGAATCAACACAACCACCAGACGGCCTCACAGCGAGTATATGCTCAAAGTTGCGTGTGCTGCTTCGCGATTCGCAGCCAGTCCAGCTGCTGCTGCTGCTGCTGCTGCTTGCTTCTGTTGCTGCTGCAGCTGCTGCGGTCTCTACAACCGTTGCTGCGGCTGGAACCATTGGTCATATGCTGTTACCATTGGTCACGCAGAGGGGCTGAGTTCTTGTGGCTCCAGAGCTACCGCTGTACGATCAAGGGTCGAAACATGCTGGCATGTACTCGGAGCATCCCAACCAAGAAGAATGGTGGTTGGGCAGCAAGTTCAAGATGAAAAAGGTGTGCTTCCTAGTAGGGTGTGTTGTTCAAGAAGCAAAAAAACTCAGGGCTTAACAACATGTACATGTACAGCAGTCTACTTGTATGTCTACATCGGCATGTAGATATCGCTTGCGGATGTCGAACTTGCTTGCTTGATAGAATTGGGGATCATAATGGTAGATCATGCAGCACAACGGAGATTTCGTAGATTTCGATGGCTCGCACGACCAGACGACCAGTCAGTGCAGAATTTGGGTGCTGGCGGGCTGGTTTTCACTCAGCGTTACAAGTTAAAATCGCCATGCCATCCATCTTACATAACAGGTAGGGAACGGCGTCTTCTGAGGCCACCATTGCTGGTGCAGCACCCCGGTGTTGGTTCGTCGTATCGTGGGCTGGAGGTGACCTGCAAACAGGGAACAAGAAATACACGTGGGTACGACCACCACAGGCAGCAGAGAGAGATGCGGCGGAATACAATCTTCAGTTCTTGAAAGTCTGTCCGACAGACACACACGGCCCTCTCACAGCCATGCAGAATCAGTACAATACAATTGTTCATTCTCTGAGTCCTTGTTTCTGCGGTCGCCTTGAACAATAGGTGGGTGCACAATTCGTTTATGGGCAACTGGGCCTACGTGCCTGGTCTCTGCTATGCTATGTAGCGCGCCACGAGTTTCACAGAAGAAGCAGTTCAGTTTGCTGAGTGCAGACGCGCAGACGCACAGAGAACACCCAAACAGTCCCATCAGCCCGGGATCTTGCTCTTTACTGTAGTGTTTCGTATTTTCTTGAATCAGTCTTTCCTGTTTTACGGTCTGTCTCGGCCCTTAGAGGGTGGATACGGACCAGCAGACAGCATACGTGACCTACGCCGTAGCTCGTAAAGATGCGGCTGGGCGCTCACCAAGAGAACGAACGACGAGATGAACCAGAGAGAGAGGGCCAACGAACGGGCGGTTGGTGCTCGATCTGCGTGTGTGTGTGTGTGTGTATTGCCGTAGAAATCTGTAAGCCGCCAGGGCTTGGAATGATTTGATTGCGTGCCTGTGTCATCCGAGGCGAGAAAAGACAAGCGGGGTGACAGCGAATCACCGCCTGGGGTAAACCGAGCAGCAGCGAAGGGGCAGTGAAGGTACGACACTCTCCAACAAATCGCCTTCCATGTGTCAACAGAGAGGGCGAGAAGAGTCTCACTCTCCACCCAACATACATGCTGGTTCTAAAATTGCTTCTGGTGTGATGGATTTTGGTCCTGAGAGTGAAAATGGCTGGCAAACAACATTCAACAAGAGGTGAAAATCTCGACGGGTTGACCAGGTCGCGCCAACAAAAGCTGTCGACGACCCTCTATCACTCGTTGATACCAGGACAAGGTCAGCATTGTACACGACGGGGGTATAGCCTAGCCTACTGTAACTAACCGCCTATCTATCCCGCTACCGCCGATGCACAGGGTCGGCGGGTAGACGGCTTGTTGAGGAAAAGCGCGCCAATTGAGCGCAATGGTCCGCCCGTCACAGGGGCAGCAAGAGCTGCTGCTGCTGCGTTTGAATTTTTTCAGCGCAGCATCTGTTTGGCGCGCTTTCCGTTGTGACACCCACAAAGCACCGTCTCAAAACCAAGCACGAGGCCCAACTACAGAGCAAAGTGGCCAACAGCGATCCACGCCCGAGATGAGCAGAGGCAGCCGCAGAATGTGCTTGGAGGGATTGCAACATATCAAAGCGTCCAGCCATGTCCAGCTTCTCATTCTCTTATAGACTACTCATATTTTGAGATCTAGAGAGGACGAGCTCTCGTGACGAACTCGCCCTTCCCCCCCAGGAGCAGAGGGGACAGCTAGCGGTGGAAAGTAACAACAGCTCTCCTCGAGGCCATGCTTAATTTATCGAAATGGGAGGGCGGGAGTTGGGAGAGCTCACCACGCAATGAGGCTTCAGTGGTACGTATGTTCGTGCATGGCCATATCTTTTTCTCACCTGATCGATCACACCTCGCAACCGGCTGGCAACTCCATCCCTTGAAATGACAGCTCTGCCAAGGCATGCATCTCCGCCTCCACCGCATGGAGGATCGGGCTCTCACACACCAGCGAGCACGATTGTGTTGTGCTGCGACGGGTGGATCTTGGGCGCTACTCGATCTTGGAGGCGCTTGGTGGGGGACTTTACGGTGTAAAATCGAGGGATTTCAGACAGGATAAATTTAGGAGTGAACGTGGGACCGTGGGCTCGATCAGCCAACCAACAAGCTCGCATCGGCCATGGAATCCGGCGGCAAGTGGCACGGCAACCACAGGAGCGGCTGTGAGAGGCGCCTATCGCGCGGGCTGGGGCGGTGAACCTTGCTGGTGGGAGCAGAAAAGGTGTGTGCGGGGGGAGAACTTTCAAAACAAAAATGCCCAGGGCTGCCTCCACGGGCGCCCCCGTCCACCCGCCGCTGCCCCCCAATTTCGCCAATTCGCCAATTTTGTGCAACGTGTGTGTGCACTACTAGTGTAGATAGAATTGAGACGTTGATCCAACAATTCGAACGTGGTGCTCGCTCTCCCTGGTCGCAACTCTATTACCTCCGTTTGATTACACGCAACCGAGCAGCAAGGATATCTACAGCAGTACGTACTGCTGATTGGGGCGAATATTGTCACAACTCGGCTGATGCCCAGGGTCACCATGCAGACTTGTGTTGGCGAGGTTGTTCCTCGTTCGAGTGTTGACTTGCGTCGAGAAGGCAACGGCGAAAACGCTTCCGACAGCTCACGTAATCTCGCGAAAAAAAAAGAACGAGATACCCGCCACTATGAACACGACGTCTTGTGTTTACGGGCTCTGCCTGCTCTGATGATGCTGGGAAGCGACTGGACAAAAGAAATTGCGCACCATGCGATTTGGCAAAATGTTGCTTAGGAACCCCACACCCGGCAAAGGTATTGCACCAAACAGTGTCCCGCCTCATACCAATCCCGACGCGAGTCACACGGGGATGTTTCATTTGGCTGTAAAATATCGCAAACCTCGACGAACAAGTCGCAGCAAGATCGTACCGGACGGCCAACGTCGTAGACAAAAGTAGCTTAGAACAACGATAGACTAACCAAGTCCCGATCTTCCCGTTCAACTCCGTCATCTTCACACTCAACACCGCCCCCAAGCCATGAAGAGGAGGCGCTACAATGGCCAAAGCAAATATCCCTCCACTTAGGTCACGCCATAGGATAAAAAACAATCAGCACCAACAATCCATTGGGGTACAGTATTCAGAGAGAGGGAGAGAGAGAGAGAGAGAGAGAGGTGTATTTGACGGCGGGACGAAAAAAACTGATCAAAACATCGTTTTTTCTAAGCTCTACGGGAGTTTGAGGGCTCCCTGAAGCGCCGATAACCAAAGACAACCACGACCAGTGTCGTATCAATTCTGTTCCCCCAGCAGATTATACTCCCTGCGTTCCCGCTTAGTCCCCCTTCATGAAGCTCTGCTGCTGGTACCTGCCGCCAAGTGCAACGACATTGACACAACGAAAAAAGTAACAGGGCGGAGCGTCGATATCCCCTATATGTTGATCAGGCATGCATGGTACGGGGGGAAATTCACAGCGGTAGCACAAACGGGGCCAAAACACAACTGGAAATTAGTAGGTTTGGGCGATACGCCTACCTCCGAATCAGCCCAGCATTAGCGATTTGTGGCCAAGAAATATTCGACAAACACAAAGGGCGAACTCCATCTATAACCTGCACTGTTTCGATCGTGATTCATCCCACAACTACCAGTACCCTCGAAAATACGGCAATGAAAAGAAGGTGGTGCCAGTGCCACGGAGCATGTGCAGCAGCAAATACAACTGCGTCCCTGTCAACATTTCACCACGTGTGGCATAGGGGCAGACACAAGTTGCAAGGTGTGTAGTTTGCAAACACTAGGGTTCTCGCAGACTAGCAACTCCACAAGAACTCCCAATTTCAATCGTGGCTACCGTGTCGAAGGCCTGCGTTCGCAAGCTCTCGCCAGTATATATCCATTTGTCCTTTTTTTCTCTCTTTTTTTCTCTCTTTTTCTGTGCCAGATGGACTTGTCTCTGCTTGCGTTGTGAAGTACCAAGATTGAACCAAGGGAGTGTGCCTCTTTCTCTCCGGCCCATGATAGATAGTGACTGCTAATCTCAGTTGATACCCCGCATAGCGTGAAGAGGGAGCGGAGGATCCCAGAATATCTGTCGTTGATTTCTATTGACTTGCGGACCCCTCGGGGCCAGTTTATTTGAGTGTACCTTTTTAGGGTAAGTTAACCTGTGACCACGGGAATCGACCGCGTCGAGTGTTGGATCAGTACGGACATACGAAGGTACTGGGTAGAGAGAGATCGGAACGGTTTTTAATGTGGAGACAACAACAACAACAACAACAACAATCCAAAGGCGCCCCCCTTTGTG